CTTTCATAGCCAGTGTATAATGAATAATTCTGGACTGTAACTTTTAGGCCTAATTTCACGAAGATTATGAAATACTAAATGGATTTACCATCACATAAGCCCATTTTGATATGCTCTACTGTAATAGTGATTAAAATTCAACATTATTTCTTGAAATCCTCATCAGAACACTGAACAAACATCGGTTTTATATAAAGTTCCTACGTTGTCTATATGAACCTCACCATTACTCACAAATTTATAAAATTACTGATTGGGTATTCAAATTATTGATGAAATATTTGTAGTATGATAAGCTAATTAAAACCGTATTGCAAAGCTTCATTACCTAATTAGTGGAATTTGCACGACAGTTTGCTTTGGCGAATTCATTGGCTTCAAAATTCGTTGAGTATTTTGACAATCTTCGTGAACTGACTCTCAGATTTAGTAATAATAATCAAATTGCAGCAGAGGGTACTGAAGAACGATTAAGGCCACCATCATTGGTCAACTGGACAGTCACCATAAATGGCATTATAGACATATTTGAGATGTTGGAACAAGGCAACGTGAATCACTTGAAGTGTAGGTGACTGAATTGAAAATTTCTTTGGCCAGATCAGACAGCAGCAGGGTTTACGAGACACCAATCCGACTTGTAGTCATTTTAAAAATCATTTCAAAACATTACTGATAAACAACTTTTCTAGCCGCCACTCTATGTCAGCTAATTGTGAAAGTGAAAATTCCAAAAATATCATAGTGGCAGTGAAAAAGTTCATCACTGTAGATGTGGTAGTGCCTTCAAGAACAGATTTTTGTTCATTTCCATCAGAAATACCAAACTTTGCACTGCAGTACATAAGTAAAGTTAGTTTAGGATATGTAAGTGGTTTCATCACCAAATATGTAAAAAAAGAAATTTGTTCATGTGAAGTTTGTATGAGACAGAAAATCCTGTGGATGAGTGGCATGCTCTTATAGCTGAAAAAGAATACTTGAAAACCATGCCTGCAAAATTAAAATATTGTCATTTGAGAATAATACAAAAATTTGCTGAGTTATACAATATTACTATGCATATGGTGCCACAGTTAGCATATAAGGCAAATTCAGTTGAACTGTTGGTAAATTTCATAAAATCAAAGATCAGTTTACCACTCAGCTGCCCTAACCATAAAGAGTCATTAAATTCCAAATTGATAGAAAAGTTCACATTTTTTCTGGGCCATAACTGGACAGTAGGCATAAATAGAGCGCTGAGTGGTAGAGATCTACGGCCACTGAATAATGATCCGGTCATTAAACAGGCCAAAGAAATCTACCTTAAGAATAGGAGGTACAGAAAGTAGATTATAATGGACAACCAGTATATTTAAGTGCCATATAATTTTTATATTGTCACATTTAGATGTAGGATATAGATATTTGATAGGAGGTTCGATAGGTAGTAACATCGCTCCTTAAATCGTAGGTTTTCCTGCAGTTTATAGTGAAAAGAAAATTGTGAAATCTGTCAGGAGTCGAGTGTTTAGTGCACTCTTCATCTCGAATGTAAGATCTCCACTATTGCATGTCAAATATTTGAGTAATTGCACATATCCTTATACTCCTCAGCATCATATAAATTGAACTTAGATCTAGTTAACATTGAAGAGTACTGCAAAAGACATTGTCTGAAGATCAATGCTTCAAAATGTTCTACCATGCTATTTGGCCCAAAACTGTTAGTACAACGGTTAGATGGCCGAATTGTTCCTAGTCTTAACGACACCCATACTCCTATAGTAGTAGACCATGCGAAGAATTTAGGAATCATCATGGATTTGAGGTTTAAGCAACATGTTACGCATTTATCTCGCTTAACAGACCTGCGTTTGAAGATATACAACAATCGCCATATTCTGAATTTCAAGACTCGCAAAAAACTGGCTGAGACTCTGGTGCTATCGTTAATAAATTATTCAATTGCTGTTTACTTTCCTTGTCTTGATTACGTGACTAGATATCGAGTACAAAAACTTCAAAATCGCTGTTGTAGGTTCGTTTGTGGTCTGCGAAAGTTTAGCCATGTGTCTAAGAAGATCAATGAGCTTAGATGGTTGAGGGTTGACCAGCTTTTCACATATAATTTACTAATATTAGTACAACGAATCAAAATCAATAGGCTACCTGCTTATCTACTAAAAAGGCTACTACCACGTGGGGATCTCAATTACAGGAATCTCTGACTTCAATATACCTAGTTATAGGAGCAACATTTTCTATCGTAGCTTCACCTACAACGCTGTCAAGGTGTATAATAGTCTTAATAACAATTGCAAAAAGAAGGGAATACTTGCATTCAAGAGAGCCATTAAGAACCATCGTCTGGGGTCTGCTAGCCAAGCTAACTGATATATTTCTTTTTTTTTGTTAGAGCGGTCCATGTAGTATTGATGTATAACATCTTAAGATTACTCTATTTAAGCCTTAATTATTGTATATATTAGTTAGTCGATTGCTATTCATTGTTATATCTTTTTTTTGTATGTGTTTCTGCGCTGTGAGGTTAAGTGGTAGAGTAGCCAGCTGGATAAACATTGCCTCGCAGTGTGGATGGATTTTGTAAAGACATTATTATTATTATATTTAGCTTTGTGAGAAAAGGTGATATAATTTGTATATGAATGATTGACCATAAAATGACTATAATTATTTCTTGAATTTTAATTCCTCCCTTCGCATCCCCTGGAAAGATTTTCCACAAGCCATTTTACGTAATAAAAACACTCCGAATGGTTTAATTTCTGCTATATTAGTCATTAATACGTGACGCGCGACTCATCCCAGCATTGGAGAAAGACACTGTGTGTCGAAATGCGCGTCATGTATTAATGACTAAGAAAGTGGAAATTAACCCATTTGGAGTGTTTTTGTTACGTAAGACGATTTATTATTAACAGAATGTAAAAAGCCCCATTAGGTTTGTCCTATTAAGATGGAAAGGCCCATTATTCAGCAATGGTGTGCGGCCAATCCACCAGAGGTCGCAGAAATACGGTAACTTATTTTAGTATTGGAGTTTCCCATCTCTAGAAGGGTTTATCTCTGGTAATCCCCAATGCAAGCAAGGAGGAGGACGCTTTGTTTTTCAACAAAGCCAAATCTAATACGTAATATTAAAAATAAGAGTGCTCTGCTCGAAAAAAATCTGAATGCTTTGTATTCTGCCAGAGATACTATGCCAAGCCGAACTAAGGTGATAAACAGATATTTAAGTTGCGCGAGGAAATAACAGCAAAACAGTTTTTAAGCAGGAAGGTTCAAAACGCAGTTGCCCAGAAGAAACACAGGGATGGTATGAAAAGAAAGTTAGAAGATATTTGTCAAGAAAATCCAGAAATAAAAAAAAGACTATCTCAGGGATTCGGTGGGACGTCCTAATCGTGAAAGCAATCAACATTCACTATTGAAAACAATCGCTGATATAGCTTTATTTGGGAGTGCAGCAGATGATAGAAGACGAACGGAATCAACTCGCAACATAAAAACTCTTGATGAACTCATACAAGAATTGCGTAAAATAGGATTTGACATTAGTCGCAGTTGGACATATCTTTATTTGATTCCCAGAAAATCTAATTCTGCAGAGGGACGAAGACATGTATCAACAGTCCCCCTGTTAAGCTCATTCCGGCTCAAACTGATCACCACAAGAGCCACTTAGATAGCAAGTTCGCTGAAACATCAATCCATTATTTAGAGAACATAACATCCATACTTGGACCAGATCAAGCATTTTTCATACCTCAAGATGATAAAGCTCGAGGCCCAATAGGGCGTAACTGCGGCAAATAAGGAAGCACCTCTTCTAATGCACATGGAATATAGAATCAAATTGCCTGATCACGATTGGGTAATCGCTGAGCATCATAAATTAATACCATCTGTTTATGCTGGTATCAAAATCACTTCCAATATGCTAGGACAACTGCAAGCCGTTGGATATTCTGGACCAACATCCATCGCTATTCGAAGTGGAAACCATAGTTCATCTACTGCTAATACTCATGCTGAGGATTTCGAGACGCTTCTCGTACTTGAAGAGTTTCGACCATTAGCTAAAACTGACCATGGACTAGTAAAGCCAGTGGTAATCATGACGGTTGATGGAGGGCCAGATGAAAATCCACGTTATCAAAAAGTCATAGGATTTGCTATACAACACTTTAAGCGACATGATCTCGATGCATTGTTTTTAGCTATCAATGCTCATAGAAGAAGTGCGTATAACAGAGTAGAGCGCAGAATGGCTCCTCTTAGTCGGGAGCTGGCTGGTTTAATATTGCCTCATGACCATTTTGCTCTGAAAATAGCTGATTTACACCATCCTTATCACTGATTATTGAATTATTTAAACACCTCCAGTGGCCTGGTTATTGAACGGAATCGTATGGGATTACCTAAATGAAACAGTAGTTAACTTAGAATTTCTCCCTCATATCATTTCATATATGCACAAATTATATTACGGTTGAACCAGATAAAAATCAAAAGTCATAACTATTCTTCAAAAATATCCAACGAAATTTGTAACGTCAAATGTCATACGTTGTCATTTAAACCTTGTGATGAGCTTGCTTATTTTGAACTGGCTTAGATTGAATGAATCCTAACATTTGATTCGGTTTAAATTAACTGAATTAATTTTTTGATTGGGTTAGCTTCATCACTACAAAACCGTATAGTTAGCGCCATCTATGCGTAAAGATCCTAAGCTACCTTATAATAAGGTAGAAATCTTCACAATGAATATAATGAAATAAAATTAGATAGATTAGTAATCACTAGATGGCGGTTCAAGTTTCAAGTCAGTTTTGGAATTTTCTAGATAGTCCTACTCGATTGGCTTAAGTTAGGAATTAATGAAATACTCGATTAACTAGTGAACATAAATTTAAAATATGATTTTTATAAGGGGACATTACAGAAAAGCTTGTATATATCTCATACATTTTTCTACAAACAAATCAGTATTAACATTATTATGGTCCACATGTTCTCATTCCCCAGCCTTTGTTGCCACCTGCATAAATAAAAAATTATTTCAGGCAGTAAGGCTGATAGAAAAGATTACTAGTGGGTTTGTCAATAATCAGAACTCAGGTATTGTACTGAAGACCCACATTACAAAATTGCAAGTGATACAAAACAAGAATCTACGAACAATACTGCATGCTGCATGCTCCTTGGTATGTATCTAACGCGACCATTCATCATGACCTGGATATTTCTTTCTTGTCTCAATTCATTAAACAAATTGCAATTAAAAGTTACGAACGTGCAACTTCACATTCAAATCGTTTAATAAGAGATACGGTGACATGTGATCCTGCATCCATTCACAAACACAACAGAGCTAGATCAGCACTTCTTAACAAGCTGAATATCTAAAACTATGATTTATTCTTTATTTCATTACACTGACTACTTTTTTCGTATAATTTTCATAACAGTATAATCTATCTTTGGCATCTTTTGTTGAAGAGATTCGCTTTTCTGCCAGTTAGAACCTCGGTAATTTTTGGGCCCCGGCCTACCCTGATGAGCAGAAGTCAAGTCATGTCATTCGACGACTGACATTTGCCGCCGTGTTTGTGCAGTGATAGAGCAAACATGACCCGGAAAGAACGCCTGCCGACTCATTCGACAAATGACATTTGCCGCCATGTTTGGCCAGTGACACGTCGATGCTATTGTGGCTGCCTAGCTTTCACATCAACTGTCACTCATTGTCCATTTTTATTAATTTGGTTGATTTGAATTACCTTCCTAATAATAAAAATCAATTTTGCATTAGAAAAAAACGATCCAAACAAATGCAGGGAGAGGGAAAGAGAGCTCATTTCGTGAGCGTTTGCTTAATGCGATCCATGTGGGAGAATGAAATACCCCAACATGCCAATAACAAAATGACGTCAAGTAGGTTGACTCGTTCGGGGATTAGAATACATTTCGAGAGCATCTGTGAAATCTGGTCCACTATCCCGCGTAAAACACCCTACCATGCAACATTTAAAAGACAAAAAGTAGGTTGACTCAATCTAGGAATAACGTGATTGGGCGAATTAGGATACATTACATAGCAGGCCGCCAGCTTCCTGGCTTACAGATAATCTTAAACTGATTTTCAAGAAGGACAGGTCATTACACACTTACAAGTTGAATAGAACCGAAGAACATCTTAGGCACTACAAAGAGATGAGGAACTTTGCATTGATGGCAATGAGAACAGAAAAACGTGCATATCTTAAATATTTGTATTCTCAGAGAAATAATAAGCAATTTTGGAAAACTCTGAAAAACATGAATATAAATAATTCCTCTTCCTTTTCACTTCCGCCATCCTTAAGGGATCTTAATGAAATGAACAGGACCCTCATGTCTGCATATACTAAAAATAATGAATCTAATGCTCTTATTACCAGATATTAATCTAGCAAAATGAGTGATTCCAACTTCACATTCACCTTTGTTGACCAAAGTGTTGTACTAGAGCATATACATATATCGAAGATAAGATCAAACGCATGTGGTCCTGACGGCATAACCTTGTGTATGCTCTTGCTTAGAGAAAGGATATTTTCCTCGACTTTGGAGAGAGGCTATAGAATGCCCTTTACCGAAGATCCCTGCTCCAACTTAGCTTGCTCATTTGAGACCTATTGGTTTACTATGCATTCCATCCAAACTGTTAGAAAAAACAGTTATTGTACAGCTACATCAGTATTCAATAGACCAAAACATTCTTCCTAAGCACCAGTCGGGTTTTAGGGGAGGGCATAATACAACCACTGGCTCTTTTTATATAAAATACGCTTCATTAATTGGGTTTATGTTAGGAAATTTGAGTTGTGGTTATGTATTTTTATCTGTTTTGACATTTTTGTCAGAATCGGTCGAAATAAATTGGGTCAGCAATCTAAAATCTAATATATCCCACTGTTTCACACGTGATAGGCAATGAACATCTAACCAATGGACAACAATCACTTACACAGAATAATACTGGAAGAAGAAGCACTTTTTGTGAACCCAACCAGATAGAAGATGTTTAGCTGCATTATTAATCAATGAGGACATCTATAAAGAGTATAGAAAAATAAGTTTGATAATACAAAAAATTCTACAAACTCTGTTTCATCTACTGTAAACATTCATAATACAGGGTCCGGCAATGAAGTATGGTGTTTTTGAAAAAACTTTCATTTTTAAACATACATCAAAATTTATTATTTTAATACATTAGTGGAATGATGCCATTTAAGTAACATAACATAGTCAGGTGCGAAAAATTACATCAGTTAGGTGGCGTCCATTCTTGGAGACGGATTGCAAAATCATCCATACTCCTTTCTAGCATGGCACGAGGAATCCTTTCAATTTCGCGCGTTATGAGTTCCGAAAGAGCCTCAAGAGTTTGCGGTTTGTCTATGTAAACTTTGGATTTTAAATAGCCCCATAAAAAGTAGTCACAACATGAAAGGTCTGGTGACCGAGGTGGCCATTCCACATTTCCATGCAACGAAATAAGGCGCCCAGAAAAATGTTCCCTTGAAAAGCCCATTGCAGCTCTTGATGTATGGCAAGTCGCCCCATCTTGTTGGAACCAAACTGTATTGATGTCAATGCGTCGTCTTCTTAGTTCGGGCAGAAAATAATCACGCAACATGGCGCAATAACGATCTGAGTTCACTGACACTGTTCGTCCGATTTCACGAAAAAAATACGGGCCAATTATGCAATTTCGAGATACGGCACACCAAACAGTTACCCTCTCAGAGCGCAGAGGTTGTTCATGCAGTTCTCGTAGGTTTTCCTGTGCCCAGTATCGGAAGTTTTGTTTGTTTACCATGCCCGATAAATGAAAATGGGCCTCGTCACTCATGAACAAAACGATGTTGCCGTGCAGCAATTCCAGCATCCTTTCTGCGAACCTGTGTCGTCTCACAAAGTCATTTTGGAGCAGCTTCTGCACAACCATAATTTTATACGGATGGTAATGGAGGTCCAAATGCAAGATTCTGCGAACTGAACGATCTGACATTCTAAGAGCGCGAGCGTGACGTACCGCTGAACGGTGAGGGCTAGTATCCACCGCTTGTTGCACTCTTTCAATGTTTTCCGGAGTTCGCACTGTTCGATCTCTTCCCCTTGCAGTACCAGGTCTCAACGATCCGGTTGTTTGAAATTTATTCACCCACTTCAAAATGGTATCGCATCTTGGAACGCGACCATGCCGACCAACGTTAAAATGGTTTCGAAATCGTCGCTGTGTGAGCACAACAGAACGACCAGTTTCAATAAAAGTGTTGTAAATAAACACGCGATGTGCCACAGACCACGGTTCCATGGCTACTAAAATGGCATCGCGGAACGAGTAGATATCAATCATCGTGAAAACATTAGCTCGACAGTGCTGCATGTAATAGTCGTTGCAAAAACACCATACTTCATTGCCGGACCCTGTACATCCTCAAAACTAGTTGATCATCTATTTCTTCTAACTGCTTGTCGAACTATACCTTTTCTTAGCCTGAACAATGGGGAAACAATATTTTTATTGAACGTTTCGATGAGCCTCAACTTTCTTATTCCTCAAAACTAGAGGGTGGGTGCCTCCCTGATCTAAAGTCTCGTCAGGACGGATAACTGATCCAATAATTCCAAAATCGGTGACACTGAACTAACGGTCGGGTTATCCTTTAACATCCTGCGGCACACATGAGGGCTCCGACGATCATCCATTTCTTTATTATTCGGTAATGGACGAAAGCGTAAGCCATTACGTCAAATCAAAACCACTATCCAACGAAAACGAGAAAGAAACACTACCATTTGACAACGAATCGTCATCTACAAATTAGGTCAGTCGCTATCATAATTTCGACTGACTGGCGACTGGTGAAATTTATTGCTAGCAGTCGCCAAAGTATGACGTCACACATATGCTCCGCCCTCAAAATTTCGACTTCACCATGATAATTTCAATGTGGCTTCATTTAGAATTAGGTCCCATAATTTTGTCACTACCTCGACTGAAAAGCTGCGATAGAACGATAGAGTAAACTAAATGCAAAAGTTGCATATTATGACACACCTATCGACAATAAAGAGAAACAATACTCATTTTTTGAAAACATACAATAATATTCGATAGCAACTTCGAGATATTCTTCTTTTTCGAGTCAATGTCAAAAAATATCACTTCTTGAAAATGGAGAGCTGATCTAAATGGGATAAAGAAGGTCTGCAAGGATAGGAGCAAGGCTTAAAAATCGTCATTTTCAAATAATTATATTTACATATATAGATATTACCATTTTGATCTTTTCCCCCAATCCTTTGGTGTCCAATGTAAACATTTAGGATCTATTCTGATTTTTCTCGTCTCCATTGCTTTATACTGACTTTGTATAATTTCTTTGCTCAATGTGATTATATACTGTCCCTTATAATAGTTTATGAGATTTAGATTTTGCAGGGTAGATATCACATCTTCTTTTTTTATACTGGTCAGCTCGCAGATTTCGCTAAAACAATCAGTCCTTATAGTAGGCCGAGAAATAGGTATCAAATTTTTAACTGCATTTTTTTTATGGTATCGTTAGATTATTACTTCCTTATGATAAGTTCAAATTGGCGTCATAATAAGGCCTTTTTTGTAGAAAATTTATTTCTCTATAAAAAATAGTAGTGCTTTATACACTTAGTTTAGCCGTTATCATTTAATTTATCATAATTTGTTGACTATACGATACGACACATTTTTATCAAAGCAAAATGATAAGGAATTCCTTCAAACCTGTGACATAGGATCAATGATTTTTGAGATACTTGATCAAGCACTTTTATCAAAATAGCGGCAAATGCTGCGGCCCCATCTCGAAGTCACTTTAAACTTATCATTACGAAATCCGAAAATGTCGATTTATGCATACGGGAATCAAAACAGAATAAAATCAGAAAATTGACATTTTTCGTACTTACGAGATATTGATTCGAGATCGTCGATAATATAGTACAAAATATGCAATTCTCGATCTTGAAAAAATATGCAAAAACGATTTTTTTAATCATGTGACATTTTCTAAGTTTTCAAAATTGAGTCATTTAAGTTGATGTACCAAAAATCACCTATATAAAAGTTGCTTAATAAAAGAAATACTTAAAGATTAAAAATTTGAAAAATAAGAATGCTATTAGATGTAGATTTTTTTTATATTCTTGACTCTACACTGTGCATGCAGGAATTCAGAGTGACAAGCCGATCTCTGCCGCTGAGTTGGAAAAAAGAAGACTCACGACGACTTTCCTCTCTGACAAGAGACCTGGAGGCTATCACTGCTTGGGAACGCAACAATCTTGTACAGTTTAATGCTTCCAAAACACAGTACATACTGTACTTTAACGAACAAAAAGCGTCCTAGCGCTCATATGGTTCCGATCAATGGCCGGGTTCTGCCAAAAAGCAGTTCATTTCGGCTGGTCGTAGTCGAGATCACCGAGGGTTTGATCTGGCACGAACAAATCTTGTCAGTCAGCGACAGCTGCTGGGAAAAAGCTAGGCTGCCCCGATGCTGTCCAGAGGAGGGCGGTCCGATTGATCGATGACTCTTCTCTAACAGACAGTCTCGGCACCCTTTCGCACCGGCGCGGCGGGCCATCGGCGATCTAGCTCTCTTCTACCGCTACTCCAACGGGCTTTGCTCCTGGGAGGGAGCTCTCTTCCATGATGCCGCCGCGCGATGTGCCTGCCAGACAGACCCGCCTGGCTTTGGCGTCCCATCCTAACCGTGTCGAACTTTGTATATCCAGAACTGGGCGATTTGACTGATTGTGGAACAATCTACAAGAAGCTTTTCCCAGTTCTACTAACCTTAGACAGTTCAAAAATCGTATTAACAAAATTTCTTTGCCGTGTAAAATCTTAGCGTTTCTTGTTTACTACTCTTACCATTTATAGGCAAACTTTGTATGTTATTGTATGGTTTTCAGTACGAGTCTTTGGTTCGATCATTTGTATCAGTCTTTTAATAGTGCGTATACTTTTGTCTGATTATTTTGTGGAAAAAATGGACCATGTTTACGAAATCAATGAACTAGTGGATATAACACAGGGTCCGTCAGAAAGAACGCTTGTTTTTTAAATGTGTGTTGGTTTTTGGCATTGCGAACCGCTTCGTTATATTTGTTTCTGGACTCGACGTCGGCTTGTCTGTTCTCTACAGTGGGGTTTTGTAAGAAGGTTCTGTGTGCTTGATATTCTGCTGGCGAGCAGTGTCACACGATTTGTTAAAACAGCCGTTGGACCCTGGTTTAGTCACTTTCACTGTGCGAGGGATGTATTCCTCCATTCCGACGTGGATAATTTCTGTTATCGAAGAACAGACAGCCGACGCATCCGCGTCAGTGAAACAGACATCTCTCCAAGGAAAGCTAAAGAGAAGTCTCTGAGCCCCTCCCAGTCGGCATGTCCGTAATGCCAAGTTTTGTGGCGTGTTCGGCTGTTCTGCTGCCACAGCGGGTTCTGACCGACACCTATCCTGCCTCCACAACGCTTCGACTGCACGACCAGCTGCATTGGTCTTGTGTGAGCCCGACCAAAGCTCATTATGGGCATTGAAATCACCGAGAAGAATTACTTCTGAAGCGGGGTGATTGATGTTTAGGAAGTCGATTTTGACGGCGAGGTATTCCAGTAGGTCCGAGGGAGAGCGATAAAGGCAGCAAATAAATTTGGGTCATTTTTTGAAAGAACCATCTCTGGAGCAGGAAAGACTGCTGCGGACAAAAGCCACAACTCCCCCGTTCTTTCTCAGATTGGAGTGCACGCCGTATTTTGGCAAGTTGAGATGGTTAATCGGTGCAGACTCTGAGATTTTTGTCTCCGCCAAGAAAAGCACGGCGGGACGATTGGATCGCAGGTAGTGATGAACAGCATAAATGTTGCTGTTAATCCCGCAGATGTTCGAATAAACAAATTTTATCTTCGATGTTGTTCCCTCAAGCCCACCCTCCACCCGGACATTCCGAGAGTGGAGTGAGTTTACGTCCGGAGTTCTTAGTACTCGAGGGATCTATCATCATTAATTTCTTTGTTTTGGAAGATAACCGACTGCATAGCTTAGGTGTGGAAACATGCGGACATTTAAAAGACACCCTGGGAAAAGCTAGCGGGTGGTACCGCCTCGGTCGACTGGTACTTGTCTACCACCTTCTTTTTACGTGTCAGTGATATTAAATAGACCTAAAGTGGCCCGCTGGCGGACTTGTATCGCCACCCGTCAATCGGTACTGAGGTATTCCTTAACGCGTGTACAATCACTTGAACGGGAAGAAGTTGTATATTGGATACAACAACTTCCGGAACAAGCATTTGCCACGGCCCCCGCCCCGCTCAGTACGGGTTACTAAACCGCAAATTGGTGTTAAACGAATAAAGTCTAAAAATAAATTTGAACAAAAAATGCTCAATCTTTCGCTACAACTGATGATCAACAAATTCATCCAAAAAAGAATTAGCTGGCAACACCGCATTCATCTTTTACCAACTAACAACTCTCTAAGTTTATTCTTCTTGAATCTCATCTTTGCTCAGACCACGTGAACAAAGAGGAACGTAATATACTTACTTTATTGTTATTTGTGGTTTCTCGTTTTCACCTACAGGTTTCATAGACATCAAAATTTCCAATATTGTTTGTGCCCAATAACTCCTATATGACAGCAGCCCCAAGTCTGACAGAGGTTTTTCCGGCGAGCCTGTTTTTCCCTCGAATTTTGATAATTCATAGCCTAAAAGAATCAATAATATTTGCCAGTTGCCAGTCCATGATTTTTGTCGAATTTTATTATAAACTCAAATAGCTTCGCAACGATTGAAGATAGATATAAATTGTATTATACAAAAGTTACTAAAAACTTGATGGAAAATCTGAAAATAAAAAAAAAATGGGGGTTTCCATTTGAAAATCTAAAGTGTAACGCCAATATCTTATATAAATGAGAAGACGTTCCCAAAATATACCAAGATAATCACAAATTGGGATGCGACCTTTTCGTGTAGCCAGTCTGTCTCTCTGTATAACAATATGTTTGTACTTTATTGGGTTACTTCTCAACAGAACTATATGAGACACAAATCAGTTTTGGTATAGAGATCAAGGTAGTTAAATTTTTTGGTAATACTTCGATTTAAAATCTTTAGTTCGGTAGATCAAGAATAAAATCGGTAGACCTAGTAAAACTGCACTGCTTTCAATAATGGCGATTTCTCAGATCAGTAGTGAGAAAAAAGCATACTTACTAAATTCAATAAGGAGTTTCCCGTATCCTTTTCTCTGATAGGGTGGCATTGTCAGTATACACGCCACGTTGTAATCTTCTGTTGATTCCTTTTCTTTTGAAAAATATCCTACTATATGGAACCCTCGATTATCAAATACTGTCATTACGTAAAATAAGAACGGATCGGTGTCGTAATAGAGAGTTTTATGATCGAGAAACAACTTGGCCAGAAGACACAGGTTCTGCGCGTACACCTTGTTTTTCCTGCCGTCTATTTCGAAGAAAGAGATGTTCTCCTTTCGGTATATTTCGTTGCCCGGCGGATGCCTTAGATTACACTTGACTAGATGGCGCTCCAGGCATTTTCTGCTTTTGCGGTATTTCAAGCAGAATTCGCAAATGTAGATGCACGGTAGATTCACCATTTCCTGAAACAATTTTATACAGGCTGTAATTTAAAAATACCGGATATGATTCCTTAGCTTATTTTACGAAGAAACGTTTAAATGAACATATGTCCTAAAGGTCTTAACTTTTGAGCTACAGGGTGTTAAAATTTTAAGAGAAAAATCGTTTTCTTAACATAGCTTTAATACTGTTCTATATATTTTCATAAAATTTGACATAGACCTACTAAGCATTAGACATTTTTTAATGTAGGTATATTATTTTTTAATATTTCTACCAGTGGCGTCCGTATATAGATTTAAAAAAAAATTAGGGAACGAAAATAAAAATCATTTTTGAAATCCTCGCTAATCTGCAGTAAATTTGACCTGTTGACTTTTCCGTCCGATGCACCGTTTTCGCGTAAAAAAAATAAAAACCATTTTCATACATTTGTTGTAACAAAATCATTTTGAACTACCAGGCTGGTGCCCTATTTTGTTTTTAAAATAATGACATATTGATTACGTTGCGGTCTTATTTTGACAAGTATCCAGAAACGTGATAGTTTTTTACATTGAGAAAGTTTCTTTAATCAATAATAAAGAGAAAATAAGTAAACTATGCCTAGATTTACAAATTCCAAGTTAGCAGATTTGCATTTTACCTACGGACTTGCTGCCGGAAATACGCTTATGGCTAGACGGATATATCAAGAGCGGTATCCAAATCGTATCATTCCCGATGACTGAATGTTTTCTACAATACACAGAAGACTACATGAAACTGGGAGTCCTTAGCATTGACATTAGTTCCAAATGGTGAAAAGACAGAATTAGAGGAAGCTGTTTTAAACACAATTGAGGAACATCTAGAAACTAGTATTAGGAAAATTGTGCGAATGCTTAATGTTTCCCATTTTCTTATTTGGAAAATACAGTACCCCTATAATATAAGGGCACACAGATCCTTCTTACAAATCCCCACTATAGAGAACAGACAAGCCGCCGTCGAGTCCAGAAACAAATATAACGAAGTGGTTCGCAATGCCAGAAACCATCACAATATAAAAGTTAGGCACAGTAGCCTTCCACCACTTACTTGTCAGGATGGAACGATTGTAACAGACTCAAAGGCCAAGGCGGAAGTGCTTGCCAAGATCTTTGCTGCCAACTCCACCATGGATGTCCCTACCAACGCGGAAGTGCCGTCGATTCATATGGTTCCCTACACTATGCGGCAAGTAACATCAGGCATAAGACCGTAAGACGGGTGCTCTCGTCGCTCAACATCATCAAAGCTTCTGTCCAGACTTGATCCCCATTGTTCTGAAGAGGTGTGCAGCGGAGCTCGCTCCAGTTCTTTCGCGTCTCTTGCAGGTATCTTATGAATCCGGCACCTTCCCAGAAAGCTGTAAATTTGCTCATGTCCAACCTATCCCAAAAAAAGGATCTAAGACCGACCCTCACAACTATAGGCCTATAGCTCTGCTTTCTGTTATTAGTAAAGTGATGGAGAGCTGCATAAATCGCGAGCTTCTGAACTACCTCGAACGTCATAGCTTGATTAGCGACAGGCGGTATGGTTTCCGGCACCAGCGATCCACAAGGGACCTCCTTGCTTACGTCACGTAATTGTGGAGTAAACTCATCCATTCTTATGGTGAGGCTCATGACGTTGCTCTTGATATCACGGAAGCGTTCGATCAGTTGTGGAACCCTGCCCTCTCAGGTGTTCCCCAGTGATCGGTCTTGGCTCCGATACTGTTCCTCTTACATATCAACGACCTCCTTTCCTGCACGATCAACCCAATCCACAGCTTCGCTGATGATAGCACTCTACATGCAGGAATTCGGAGTGACAGGCCGATCTCTGCCGCTGAGCTGAAAAAAAAGACTGGCGACCACTTCCTCTCTGACGAAAGACCTGGAGGTTATCACTGCTTGGGAACGCAACAATCTTGTACTGTTTAATGCTTACAAAACTCAGTAATGTACCTTGACGATGAAAAAGCGTCCTAAGCACTCATCCGGTTTCGACGGCTGGCCGAGTTCTGCCAAAGAGCCGTTCATTTCGGCTGGTCAGAGTCCAGATCACCGAGGAATTGATCTGACACGAACACATCTCGTCAATAGCGGCAGCTGCTGGGAAAAAGCTGGGCTATTTGTTTAGGGCTAAGAAGTACTTTTCTCCGCGTGACCTTCTCACGCTATACAACGCCCAGATAAGGCCTAGCCTCGAGTATTGCTCACACGTTTGGGGTGCTACCGCCCCAACTACATTATTTATGCTCGATGCTGTCGAGAGGAGGGCTGTCCGACTGATCGATGACTCTTCTCTAACAGACAGTCTCGGCACCCTTTCGCACCGGCGAGCCATCGGCGATCTAGCTTCTTCTACCGCTTCAACAACGGGCTTTGCTCTCTTCCATGATGCCGATGCGCGATGTGCCTGCCAGACAGACCCGCCTGACTTTTGCCTCCCATCCTAACGGTGTCGTACGTCCAGAACCCATACGACCGCTCCTTTGTCCCGAGGGTGTCTAGAATGTGGAACAATCGTCGAGGGGAAGCTTTTCCCAGTTCTGTTAACCTTAGGCAGTTCAAAAATCGGATTAACAAAATTCCTTTGGAATCCTCATAGCAGCCGCGGTGTCCCGGAATTTAGGCTTGTGCCTCCGCGGCTGCTTCGGTATAAGGAAACAAGAAAATAATCAACATTGTTTTCACACTGGACCTGGATTTTTTCGACTTTTTTGTTCTCGGTTCCCCTGCTTGCTTCCACTTCACGTTTTGATTTCAGCTCTACATAGAATTCGTTGAACCAAGACTCGTCTCCAGTTGAGAAAGTCCCCCCTTTCCTCTTTTGCCAATAAATCCTCACAAGCAACCCTCCTTGCTTTTTGTTCTGGACTCAAGAGCTGCGGAACGATTTTTGCGCACAATTTTATGTCAAGCTTTTTTGTCAGAATTTCGTGGACGATTGACAGTTCCTCTGCTATCATTCTGTTAATCAACGATCTTTAAGAGCACGGCCCTGAATTCGTTCAATATTGCCCTCAGAGCTCGATGTGGAGAGGCGTCCAGAGCGTTGGTCATCTTTCACATCTTCTCGGTCTTCCCGAAACCTTTTCAACCGCTTGGCGATTGGTTCCTTCAGACAATTGTCTCCGTAAACTTGAACCAAACACTAAAAAAATCTCACGATCATTCTTGCCTAGCTTTGCAAGAAAGTTGATGTTGTTGCGCTGTTCCTCGATCAGAGTGAGCTCCATGCCGACGGCAGGTAAAAAAAGGGTTACTTTCAACAAGCACTATCTATCAATCCTACTTACTCGCAGAGCGCTCCGGTTCGAACCGAGCATAGAGGGGATTGTATATAGATAGGGGACCACCGGGACACCGCTCCACAACGCCTTGTTTTACGTGGGAATATCCGGGGGTGATGGGAAACTTTTAAAGCTATTTATTACCTGAGGATATGGGGCAAAATACCAAGGCTTAAGTCGATGCCGTCCTAATTCTATCATCTCTACGTTTTTCATCCGTGTAACAATATCATCGTGGTGTGAGACCATACTGCCACTTTGTCTGGGGCCTGGCATTGCAGGCACCAAAGGAACAGGTCCATCTTGAGAGTCCTCATTATCTAGCGATGGACCTGAAATACCAAAATTCTATTACTAATTACACAAAGTCTGCCAAGAAGCATAGACCATCTAAATAGTTTTGGATAAACTAACGGAAAGTTCAAAGTTTCTCAGGCTTTCCAAAATCCAAATCTTGCACAATGATCATTTAAATAAACTCGTACTGATTTTAAAACGTTTCGTGGCACCAATTCAGCAAAATCACAGAAGCTATTCGACATTCTAATGATTATTTACGATCACCAGTGGATCCCATAACCTAAAAGGTTCATGTGCCCGTTTGACATGTTTATGATTTGACTTACTGGCCATCGTCTATCAGGTTTTTGGTAAATTAAAAACTGCGAATAAGGTAAGTTGTTGCAGGTTCTTCGTAAGTTTTGTAGCTACTCATCAGAATCAACAACTATATATAATTTGCCATGAATTGTTTAAATCCCATTCAGGAATATAAATACTGCTAAATATTTTAACTGATGAGGATGATCCGAACGACTCACTAGTTGATAGATATTGAGCTTACAACAGCAAATATAATAATAAAAAAGAGAATAAATCACTTTCAATCAACCTAAATACCAAATGATTTGTAGCTTCAGACAATTTCCCTAAAAAGTGACTGCAAATGGACTGTTGTCAAATGTAAATGTGCAATAAAAACTCAATCTGAGGTTGACCTTATAATTCGGATTACAGTGTTCGGCACTTTGAAAATGTTTGTCCCTCTCCGAAATTTTTTCGGTTTTTTTGCGTCTACTGTGTTATACTGAAATCTAATAAGCAGTCAGTTTTTCCCCATCACTAACAAGTTTTTAGAGAAGGGAGAATACAAAATATGAAAATCCCAAATTATAAGCGATGGTGAATTTTTAAAAATTAGAAAAAAATAGCAAACACTCTTTTTTAGAAAACACTCTTCTTATTGTATAAAGAAACAATCAAATACTTTATTTGGTTGTATTTTCTCGCTTGTATTCGCCAGGAGCGGTTTCACGTTTAATGGTCCAGCAGTAGTCCGTTTTCCACTATAGGGCTTCTCCATCTGAGCAAATTGCAGGTGAACTCTTTCGCCGTGCTCGTCTGAAACTGCACTAAAATTGTCAGGGAACAATTCTAAATGGGAGTGAAGAAAATGCAGCTTAAGTGACATTGCAACCTAAGGCCTAATAAGATTGGATAAGTTCTTCAACTAGATCTTTGTAGTTGTTCGAAATTTTGTTGCCTAGGAAGTTGCTACATACATTTTTGAACTCTTCCCATGCCCTTTTTTCCTTTCTCGGAAGTGTAGTTTTAAAAGTTTAGTCCAACGGAAACTTCTTCTTTAAGCTTTGCCTCACTTATACGCGGGAATTTTTTCAATATATAATAATGGTTATTGAAGCATCTCGCGAAGTGAGTTGTCGAGGTGTTTGAAGAAGTGGTAGTCGATAGGCGAGAGGTCCGACGAATATGGTGAATGAGGCATAGTATCATAACACAATTCGTTCAGCTTTTGCGGGGTCGGTTGTGCGACTTGTGGCCGGGCGTTGTCGTGGACGGGATTTGCCCCCTTCATATTGACCAGTCTAGGTCACATATGTCCAAGTTTTTGATGCATTTCGTCGATTTCCTTGCAGTAGTTCTCCGCCGTAATCGTTTCGCGCGGATTTAGAAAGCTGTGGTGGATGAGACCGGCTGCAGATCACCAAACAGTCACCATAACCATCTTTAGATGCAGTTTCGGCTTCGGGAAGTGTTGTGGAGCATCGTCGCTGTCCAACCATTGCACAGAACGTCGCTTATTGTCGTAGAGAATCCACTTTTCATCACATATCATAATCCGGTAGAGAAACAGGTCGTTTTTGTTGCGTAGAAGAAGGGCAGACGCCACCTCAAAACGACGATTTTTCTGATCTTCGCTCAATTCGTGCGGTATCCATTTATCGAGCTTTTTTTACTTTCCGATCCGTGGTCAGAAATGGTAGCAATATCCACATCAAGCTCACGAATAGTTGTGCGCGAGTTTGCTTCCACCAGGGCCTGTAACTCGTCGTCGACATCATGTGGCCGGCCATTGTGCTTTTCATCTTCAAAGCTCTCGTCACAGCTGTGGAATTTCTTAAACCACCATTATGCCGTACGTTCGTTAAAGTCAAAGTATTATAAATAAATTTGAGTGTAAAATACATTATTTAAAACATGAATAACAAACAAATAGCTTTCCAGATTCCCCCTATTTTAAAGGATAATGTCAATAAAGCTGACCGACAAATTTGAAGACCTTCCACGCAGTGTCTCGGTATACCTTTTCTTTGAATTAACACTGCAGCACCGGTAATCAAATAATAAATTACTCTGATGGTACAATAATGCTTCTATCATCATGTAATATTCAAGGCCGAGAATGATCCACGTATGTTTCAAAATAATTACCACAACCATCGAAAAAAAAGAATTACCTTTCCGTTTCCTATTCATCTTCTTTTGCAGAGCAGCTGCTAGGACAGCATTTCCATTCAGCAGTTCAGAATTGTTTACCGGGCTAGACGGTCTGGATATAACAGCCATCGGAGGTGGCGGAACACTCCCACCGCCACCAATCGAGATCTTCTTCGGTGTCGATACACCTGTACCTGTCCCGACATCTTTCCGCGGAAAATGCACCTTCCTCGTATCTAATGATTCCTCCGTCACCCATTCATCCAGTCTTTTGTTAACTACAAAATGTGTTCAGGCTCAAAAACAAATTAAAATAGAACAGAAAGAGCGAAGCATACAATAACCTAGATTTAGTGCACAGTTTTGGCTAGATTAAACCACAATTACGTCAGTTTTACAATTTTTAAATGATTATTTAAATAACTTATTAACACATTATACCCATCCAACATTGATGTTCTGACCCCCTATTACCAGCCTCCCTGCTACCATGTTTCTATTATTATTAGCACTGCACCAGTACGATGACACTGTTGTGCAAAGTCTTTTTTTATGCTGAATAATGCACAAAACATACTGCTCTGTCTTGGAGTTCCTTATCCAACTTTTACTTGAGTGAATTGACAGTTGTTGCACTAAGAGTTCCACGAGGATACAACATGATTTGAAATGAAATTTCTCTTTATCAATTTAGATGTATTTCTAATTTTTTTGGTATTCCCTCGTAGATAAAGATTCTGAATTATGTTGAATATTTGAAGGGTAGAGTTATTTAGCATGTACTCAATTCTTGTATACCTAGAGTACTGCAAGATATCTACATTCTATTTGCAATTTTTGGAAGAAATACAATGTAAATTGCCTAACTTGTAGTATGCACTTGCACCCTAACTACAGACTAGGATATGGTTATGGTGGGTCAAAACGAATCGCATGCTTCCTCCTACCTACTCCAAGCTCATTGTTCTTAACAATTATACCATTTCCATTCCAAAATCTTCCTCTCTACTATGCAGAGGTTAAACAACAATAACTACCACTACTGCTACAACCGATCATCAATACAAATGTGTACTTACAATCAACATAATGCACATAGTAACATTTCGATCCTTGGACATCTTTGATACTGATTATTTCTGCAAGAGCTGTAAAAAAGAAGCTTAAATTTTCGAAAAGACTATGTTAACTAACTTACGCCAATCGTTTGTCCCAGTCATATGAACAGGAAGCCTGCATCCTTCTACTAATGATGACTATAAAAAATTGTGAGTAAGGATGAGTAATAAATACATATATTGATTAAACTTACAACTGAGTCACATACTGTGCTATCGTCCATATACTCCATATCAATTTTCATGTGACCGGATAATATCTAACAAAAATAAACTGAAAATATACCAAGTCCTAGCGATGCATATAAACTTTTATTCCAAAACAAAAAGCAATCCATGAAACACATACATGTACCACAGAACACTACACCGAGCTGAACACAAAACATATACACTGAAGAAGGTTTAATTCCATGCTATTCAATGGCAACACGGTGACTTGTTGTCAGCGGCCATTTTTTAAGGGTGCAACATGGTTGCCAGATTGCGCATTAATATCCCGCAACGTTGCCAACTCTACATATAAATCTGAGATTGCTATACTTTTATGTATAGAAATTTTTTTTCATATTGCTAATATTTTGTACGTTTCGCAGGTGAGTTGTGGCTGGCCTAAGATTATGTATTTTAGTAAATTATAAATTACCAAGTGTTTACAGTTGTATCATTATAATGTCCTGTTGCAATGCAAGACTAGTTGAGAAATACAGGATGTCCAATAAGTACCACGACAAATTTAAGGAGAAGGTAGGCTTTGGACTTGCCTCCCTAATAACAAAAACTTACCTATACAGGGTGTTTCAGTTTATTGTTGCATAACTTTAAGAATCGATAGAACTTTTAAAATTAATGCATAAAGTCTATATAAACATGGGTCGAAAAAGGCGTGGCTTCCGAAATACAGGGTGTTTAAATTTACTTTCTAAAACAGTTTTTTTTAAATATTTCGAACAATATTTGATGTATAATAGTGAAAATTGGTATACAAGGGGTTTTTGGTACGACAAAACGTACCATGGGCATAGTTTTACTGTGGCCGCTAGAGGGCGCTCTCTACTGTACCTGTAGTGTATTAAAATGACCGAACATTTTTTCTTAGTGCAATTTTTTGCTTTTTGAAGAAAAAAACTGATTCTTCGCACTTTTCTGCATAAAAAAGCTCTCCTGTGAGTTTTCGTTATAGTTAGCCGTTTTTGAGATATTTCGATTTTTAAGGTTCGATGCATTTTTAATTATTTATGATAAAATAACGTTAAAAAGTCAGTATCTCGATAATTTTTAGAAGTAGACTGTGCCTGCAAATATTTTTGAAATTGAAAGCAGAATAAGGTTAAACGTCAATTAGTTGACAGTTAGTTTTGTTGTCTGTTGAAACCTGAAACGTTTTTTTGCAATTGTGAATGCACGAAATTTAGTTTCTTTTACATGTTTTTTTTTTGTAAGTTTTATAAAAATGCCATTTTTATTCTCCAATCAAGAGTTAGCGGATATTCATTTTGTGTATGGCTTTGTAAATGGAAACGCAGCATTAGCAGCCAGAGAATACGCATGAAGATTTCCAAACAGACGACATCCAACTCGCTGGGTATTTGTAAGAGTGCATCGCCAAATAATTGAAAATGGTTTTGGAAATCTCCAAAGTTTGATAGAGATCCGACCACAAGTGTTAGGAGAGTTTCTGGTGCCTTAGGAATTTCAGCAAGCCATGTTCACCGTGTTCTTAGAAATGACCATAGACGTCCTTACCATTTGCAACCTGTGCAAGGACTACAGCCAGGGGACGGAGAACGACGAATCACATTTTGTCAGTGGATTCTTGATAGAACTGATAATAATAGGGAGTTTTTTATGGACCGATGAGTCGTGCTTCACTAGACGTGGAGTTGTATACAACGTTGGAAGCATCGTGTGGGACCCGCATATTACCTATGACAGTGACACTAATGACACCGAAATTGACATTGACAGTTGATATGACAGCTGACATAGTTAGACGGCACCTGACATAAGGATTGCCGTCACAAGTTATAAATAAACTAGCTCTTTTGGCGATTTGTTTTTGCCATTATGCGTAATTAAAGTGTGAATATCAGTGGAAGGTGCGAGGCTGCATGTTGAAGATTTGTTATTGAACAACTCTTTGAAAGCACATAGTTTAATGTGGATTTGCCATACCAAATGCTTTGTATCAATTTTGATTCATGCAATTGTTGATGGAAAAGTTCACAAAATTAATATTATATCCGTTTATTTTAGTACCTTAAACAGTTTACCAAGTGCTTGCGTTGCCGCTCCACTAATACAGCGTGACCCATCCATGCGGGGACGGAATGTTGCTCGTAAAATATTAATTGTATCTGGGGGTAAAGACTTGAATACTCACAGTTATACAGGATATCTCAGTTAAGGCCCACATGCCAAAGTTATTTATTTTTTAAATCGATGGTTTTTTATTACATATTCAGATAAAATCCTTTAAAACAAGATTGAATTCTGCACAACATCAATGAATGCAACATACTTTTAATTAATATAGATCTCTTGGGTACCTATTTGATCTAACAAGTATAATACTATGGGTGGAATAGTCGATTTTGTGTCAAACATTTTTATTGGCCTCAACTTTAACTCATTTCATCAATTTCACTAAATTTTTGGCCAATCAGTACAGGAGTATTCAGGAATTTTGTATGACTAGTTGGGTTGTAGCTAGTTTCTATTAAATATCTTCAGTAAGTGCATATCAATGATATAAATAAATATGATCACCCACAAGTTCCTGCTGATATGCTGACCACGCCACTAATTTCCAAACAATCTAGTCTTCTTTATCATTCTCATTATGTTTACAGTCAGTCAGAAGCCTTTGTAAAATTGGCAATACTGACTAATTTCATTTTAAATGTGATTTGGAAGCATCTTATAACTGGTGCAGTCATCCAATAACATGTAATATGTGAGCCAGGAAAAAATTTTGGAGACCCACAATGTTAAACTTTTTCAAGACTCAATCTGGCTTTTTGGACTTTGCCCCACTAATGGAGTGGCAGTGAGCACTGGAGTGACTTCATATTTTTGGATTCCCAATCCATCAGGAAACTGGCATTCAAGACACATATGAGGGGCACTGCAATTTGGGACCACAGTGCCCAAATTTGCAAGGATTCCAGCTTAGGGTAGAAATAATTACAGATCCAGCTGGGATCTTTCTAGGAGTACAGGATGCTAACGATCACCTTCTTAGTATTGTAAGTGCAATTTTTTTTCGCATATTTTAAATTTCAATGTGTATTGATATATTATGCGGTTGAAGAACCAATTGATGGGGTGTAATCAAAAACATGATAAATGTAGCAGTGCCCAAAATCTTGAGCTAATTTCTTTGAGGACAATCATACCTCTTATGTCGGTTACATTAGATCTACAAAACAAAGGAGAAAAAAAATATAAAGATAAAAACATATACACCCATGTGAGCAAGAGCATAAAGATAATCACACTCTACATCTATATAGCAGAATTATTTAGGTTATGGCGAGCATCCTGCTTTGGACTTGCTCATTAAAACTTTTTTGTATTTGGCCTTTTTCTCCGACGCCACAGGGCTGAATTTCAAAAAATACAAAGCCTTTGCGTTCTTGACACAGTAGTAACATTTTGCAAAAATTTCATTAAAATTTGAGTGGTACTTTTCAAGTTATAGGCGGTTATAAGATTACCAGACAGACAGACCAATGAAACTGAGTGACATGGTTTTTCGTGATGGACATATCACTACGAAAAAACAATACCTCATTTTCTAACATTTCCGCAATTACAACACTTCCTTACCAGTAGGCATGGGAAGTAAAAAACTAAAAACTTCAATGCAGGAAAACTGGCGACCTTCACATCAGAGAGTAGGTATGGTGTATTTTTTAATTCACCGGTTGAGCAACCGGTGCCACCGGTGGACCAGACATCTGTCCTTTTAATTCAACCGGTTGCTGCCATCACCATACAAAGCTGTCAACAGTGTCAACCATAAGCGGTGTGTGGAATCAACCGGTGAATTAAAGAATCTACCTGTAGTGAAAAGTTGTCAAGATAGTAGGCAGGCTGCCAAACTTTAGTGTTTTTTAGATAAAATATCCAATAGCTCAACAACTACTAATAATCAGAGCCCATAAGCTTTTTATATACTATAAATCATCCTTTTTAAAAAGAATATCTCTCAGTATGTAATAAATAATAGAGTTTGTTAAAAAAATCAATTTTGATTGTAGATCAAAGCTGGAACACCGATAAAACTGTAGTATTTTAGAAATGTTGCCCCTGGTACCCATAATAATGGTAAAAGTACATTTTTCTTTGAATAGTTATTGTTTACAAGTTATATTCGGTCCCCACATGTATTTTCAAGAGAATTGACAAACATGTTTTGATTGAATGCAGGAGTAGCTAAGATACTTCTGATTGTTGTATATCTCATATAACAAAAATTATAATGCTTTTCAAAAAGGCAACCCTACTTGTTTTTTGAACTGGTCAAGTTAGCAAGCTGAAATTCTGAGTGATAAAATTGAAGCATGAATAATACATTTTACCATAAAATACCATTTTTTGAATGGAATTAGCTCCTTACGAGTTCTGTATCACCCATAAAAAAAAAAACTATCATTTGAAATGGGTAGACTGGAAGGTTGTCAAGGTGGTTGTGTATTTGTACATTTAGTCACTTATAAACCAACAAGCAATCTTCAAAATGCTACATCAATCTTCTTGTGTTGCAAGAATCTATCCAAATCTTTAATAAAATATGGAACATTCCATTAAAACATTTGAATTCTTTCAATTTTTTTAAACCAAATGAATATTTCATCGCATACTCTGATCTTACTTTTATGGAGCATCAAAATGAGGTATCACATGTGCCTCCATTCTATTTAAAAAATGTTTGAAGGTGGCGCCCAGCCACTATCTTCAAACTTTCAACTGTTTTTTGTTATAATATCCGTTCATATCAATTTCAGGATTTCAGCTTGCTAACTTGAACTGCTAAAATAAAGTAGGGGTACCTTTTGAAAAGCACTGTACATGCATACATAAAAAAATGCAATCCTGTATAGGAATTGATGCCAGCATGGGATCAGTCTGGAAAAGACTGCAAAGGGTCAATAAGAGGGCTGCCAAATTCCATTTCACAGTCTCATACCATCAACTGTCCATAGACCTCAGTTCAAAATGGTGAGTTCTAGCAATTTTACAGTAATAGTTTATTAATGATTTAATATAAAGTGTAGCTAATACTTACAATGTACAATGACTTTTAGTTCTTTCCAATAATGAAATTCTGACTATCAGAAACTGTCAAATACAGTTATCCAAACAAGTTAATTATATAATGTTGCCTAGTTACAAGCTCAACTGATCTGGTCCATTGTAAATGACCACCAGAAATTCTTTGTTGAAAAGAACCATTCATCAAAATTGTTTATCGTGAATGAGTCAACATGGAGGATGTGCTATCTACTGCAACCAGGATATACTTCAAGGAAGAGAGAAAATGCGTGAAGGTCTCAACATCATTTCACAGTGTATATGCATGTGTGTGTGTGTGTGTGTGTCTGTGTGTTTTTGAAACCAACTGTTAGCGATTTCATCAGGGTAAAGAACGACTCCAAATAATGTTTGGACAATTTTTTCATTAACACAAACCTCCTAGGTGTCACGCACGATAGCTATCGCAAGTTTAATAAGCATATTGAGAGTATGGCTTAAAAACTTACTCAAGCATGCTATGCGCTACGAGTACTCACTGTGAAGACTTTTAAGGTCGCACCATTTCAAGGTCAAGGCCACTTATCAATTTAATAAGTTCGTTTTTTGAGGTTTCAGTGGCCTTGATGATTATCTGAAAGAAATTGTATGGGTTTAAAATTTGGAGTTGGCGGCTAGTAGCAGGTGGAGGAAGTTAACCAAATATATCGTACTTACGATGTTTTCAATTCAAAACTGATTTAAAATATGCTGAACACTGCATATATTCATTTAGTCTGAAACGGTCTCGTATTAATGTTCCAGCCTTAAATTCAATTTTATATGGATACAATATTAGTGGTGATTTGTTTAAGGCAACCGCAAAAAGTTTCATTAGTGTGGTCGAGACGATCAAGAAGAGTGAGTTCGTTACCTATGGCGTGCGAGCCAACATTACAGAACCCCTTCAAGGGTCTGGTCGTTTGGCCTATACCCGAAAATCACCAGGTGGCTGTGACGCTCTTCAAGGATCCTAGGACAAACGAACTCGAGGACAAAGATTGGTCATTCATTATAGAAGATGTAAGTGGTATTATTTAATTATCAACTAAGAATGCGAGGTACTGTATCTGGGAACCTATTCGTCGTAAAGGCTTGCGGCAAACACAGTTTTAGCTAAAACGGCGAAGAGAAAAACCTGGAAAATATTTTGAAGTTTCTGAAATGGCCGCTAGGGGGCGACTGCAGTCTTGAATCTAATTAAAGTGATTTCCTCTATACTAACCTAACAAAAAAAAAAACTGATCTTTAAAGTCGACGGTAATGTGAACTTATTTGTTTGTCAATTTTTGCTCTATCTCTTAAAAATAATGTGGTGAGGGCTATTCAAAGCTTTCCGTGAAAAACATCCTTTATCTTCAAAACGGCTTATCCGGTTTTAACAAACGTGGGCTAGCTGAAAAGAGCTATTCTTGGGCAACAAATGTTATTATGTTTGAAGTTTTCTTAGTTTCTCATGTTGCCGACATTCCGACAGAAATGGTTTATTTTGTCAAAGAAAAAAATAAATAAATAAATGAAGTGGTATGATTTTTTTACGAAACAGTACCTAAATGCTCGCCAAATCCGAATTTCGATATCTTGTTCCTAATCAGAAATTTCGGTCAACTAAAATTTTATACGGAAATCCCTTAAATTTTTATTTTTTATACTGATTTTTTTAAATTTCTTTTTAAAAGAAATGTTTTTAATGCCCCCGTAAGTGCTCGAAATGCTGACCATCACGTTCTATGCATTTCCGAAGCCTCTCGGAATCTTGAAACAAGCCCTCTGGCGGCCGCATGTGAAACTAACAAAACTTGAAATATTATAAAATTTGTAGCCCAAGAATAGCTCTTTTCAACTAGCACAAGTTTGTTGAGGTCGGCTCAGCCGTTTCGAAGATACAGAGTGTTTTTTACGGAAACCTTTGCATGCCCCCACCACTTTATTTTTCGAGATACAGCAAACATTGTCAAACAAAGCAAGTTCACATTGTCATCGACTTTAAAGAGCATGTATTTTTTTTTGTTAGATTAATATAGCCGAATTCATAGAAACATCACTTTTGAAATGCCCCTTGTATATTTAAACAATCTTATTGATAAATATGTACGAATGATGAATTCTATATCTTGAGATTATGTAAGTATGATACATGAAGATATCCATTTATTTCCTTACTCATCCAGTTTAAGTCTGACGTTTCCTTTGGTAATGTCAATTGCTAATATTACTCTCTACCTCTCTTGAAAAGTGCATATTTATAGGTACCTGCTACTGGAAAACGAAGACAACTAGCGATAGCGCACGTCAACATGAGAAAATATGCTAGCATAGAATCGTCGCATACCGAGTTACAAATAATTTTTAAGGCCACCACCAAAAAAATTCTCGGAGCTAAACTGGACTGTTCCTTGTCATGCGTGTTTCTCAGGGAAGGAAGGGCAACGTAAGTAACAGTAATCTTGTGATATACAGGGTGATTCACAAGTCGTGACCAAAAATGAAACATCATACACAGGACTGCATTTTAAGGGGGTCTTTCATGTAACATTTTTTCTTCGAGCGTTTCATTAAAAAGAAGTTAAAAAATAAGAAGCATTTTTCTAATGTCTTCAAAACCGTCAACTGGTATCAACTAATATTTGGTATGTGGATTTACCTAAGTATTGTCCACATTCAAAAGTCTTCACTCAAAATGAACGCGAACCAGTGGCGGAGATACATGGGATTAGTGGCATTATTTCTCCAAATAAAAATAGTACGCTACAGTTTTTTTCGAAGCTTTATACGAAAACAGTGCACTCTAAGAAAAAAACACGAGAGTAATTATTTCTAGCAAATTGAAGGTAACATTCGAAAAATTTCACGTTTAAAAAAAAACGGTGGCGTACTATTTTTATTTGGAAGAATAATGCTACAACAATCCCCTGAATTTCCGCCACTGGGGAGTTAATTTTAAGTAAAGACTTTTGAATGCGAACAATACTTAGGTAAATCCACATACCAAATTTTGGTTTATTCCAGGTGACGGTTTTGAAGATATTAAAAAAAATGTTTTTTATTTTTAAACTTCTTTTTAATGAAGACCCCCTTAAAATGCAGTCCTGTGTATGATGTTTCATTTTTGGTCATGACTTATGAATACCCTGTATACCTATTAGAAAACAGAACAATATTCTGATATAAAAAATACTGTAAAGAGTCGTCTATTTTCAGCTGGTAGTCGTCTCGTTGATTAATCTCCATGTTATTCTGGATGCTTAATAGAACTACGGATATTGAAAATAATGACTTACTGACGTTTCGGTTTTACAAGGCTTCATTGAACAACTATAATAATACGGAGTTATGAACTGATTTTACAATAAAGCTCGAGGAGTGTCCCTGGACTGAGTTCATGAACTGTAGAGGGTATTTTGGAAGACCGTAATATGCAAAAGTTTTGACACTTTATCTGCACACTAATTTTTTGACACGAAATTACGGTTTAGCCGATTGCTATCCCTACTTAACTGGACTAATTTGTCACTGAAAGCAAACATATCCTGTAAACCAGATTGAGAATTAACAAAGTACTGGTTTTGTGCAAATTCTTAAAAAGTCAAAAGCCGTGCACAATCGTATATATATAATTTTTATGATTGGAAATGACCCCATCTTTCACCCCATTTTGTTTGATCCATGACTATTAGTACACCATAAAGGAGAGTAACAAAAGAATCCCAAACAGAGTTTTTAAAAAAAAATCATTCTTTGCTTACCGCAGGATCCGGAACTCTCCGTTTTGCCGAAGAACGTTTTTCCAATGACCTGAAATCAAATGTTCGTTTATTATATAATTCTTGTGGCGTTTTGAGAAAAGTTTGTGTTCTCTGACCAGGCTATTGCTGATAAAGTAGCGCGTTACTTTCAAGATTTTGTTCCACGGAAAATCTCATTTTTCTCTTACCGCCGAGAGGATTTAAGACGACAGTAGCTCCACATTTCCGGGATATTATTTCGAATTGATTATACGACCATTTTTAGGGATGAAGACATGCAATCGATGGCCTCCCTGATGTCATTCAATAATAACAGTGACGACATCGCCGCTATAGAGGATGTAGAGGATGAAGATTATTCATACAGCGACAGTGCGATGAAAAATAGCTTTCACGAAGTTACACTCCATCTACAACAAATGACAAACAGCTTATCCGGCTCGGATTTTGCGTGCACTCCATTAAGTGGTAAGATCATCCCTTATTATTCTATTCTTCTTCGGATATATTTATATCAGGACCTCTGTCACTATTTTTGGAATCTCAGTGAAGCACTTAATCCACCAGTTTCATTTGATGACATACTTCTGAGAGAGTGTTGCCTGAAAGATATTTACCCGACCCCTGAAATTTATTCTTAACCTTATATACGAGGTGTGCCAGAAAAGTAATGAGATTGGCGACACTGCAAACGATTTGCCAATACTGCGTGTGTGTCATGCAAAATGGAACAGCGGAATTTGAAGCAACGTTGGCTTGGAGTGTGACCTTTGAACAGTTGTAACATTCTTCATCCCGAACAACTCAAGTTTTTCGCAGACATAAATTATTTTCGGAAGCCAGAGAACAGGTTGAAGTCGAACCCCATTCCAGGAAGCCTCCAAGTTCGAAAGCGGACGAACACATCGAACGTGTCAACGCTCTGGTGAAATCAGGCGTCGTTTAATATTAAGAATGTTAAGTGACATGTTACATTTTAACTGGCTAAATCCCCAAGAGAGTGAGAAATGGGTCCCGACAACAAAATTCACCAATGGAGCACTGGGTGTGAAATTGCTTCACTAAAGAAGGGGAATGACCGTTAATTACTACACGAAAGCGCACGAAAAAAAAAAACAGCAAGTCACGTTTCGTTCTCGTATTTAAGGTCGACGGAGATTATAAAAATGACTTTTAAAGAGTAGAGCACGATCCTCCACCACAGAACCATTAGAACAAGAGAAGTGTTTTGGTATAAAAATAAAATTCAATTTTTTTAAGAGCTGTTATAAAATTGTTATTCTAAATAAGAAAAACATTATAATAATTTACTTTATCAAGATACTGTTAAGTTTTAGTAGACCATAAAAAGAAACTGTAACAATGTGTAATCATAAAATGTTTGCTTTCAAAAAAGGAGTGAAATTGGTTACAAACGCACGTTGAATAACCTTTTCACAGCTTGACGGCCAAAGATTACTATTTGCTATATGCTCCTACCTACACCTACCAGATAAACCCGCCTCTTCCCTTACACATTTAATAGGTAGATCCTAATTTTTCCGATCTTATTGGCAATGAACAATTCAAAAATTGGATCTGTCAAATATCTGTTAGATATTTTTAGCACCAACGCTTCGGTCAGACCTTAATAATCGACTAGAGAATAGAAACCGTTACACTAAATTCCAGCTCCTTTTTTTCCAGTTGCAGGCATGCTTTTTGACGAAAAGACTCCCACGGCCGAAACCGTTTGCTCGATAGACGAGAACTCGAAGCTAGCGGAACCAATGTCCGTACCGGCGCCTGAAGCTGCGGATTTTTCTACTTGCGACGGTGACATCTACTCGGAGCACTGTACGGAGGCACTTGACCAACTGGAGAGTTTGGTAGAGGAAAACGAGAATGATCTTAGCAAATCCAGTAGTCACAGCAGCATTCCTGTCAATAGGCCGGTGCACGTCAGCGGGAATATCAATTTGAAACTGCAACCTTTAGACTTTAAGGAACATATCGAAACCCCCAAAAATCAACAGAAACTCGCTACACCAGGTGGGTTTCGTTGTTGTTTCAGATTTATTTAGCATTAATGCTATAATGTCCATAATATCCATATTACACAGTATATCACAAAATATATTATGTCTTCATAACTAAGTATATTTATACAAAATTTGACTACTATGAATTCTGGTTTTTCATGAGATATGATTTCAATTTCCCTTTGAACATATTCAAACTGACCCACATCTTGATATCATTACTTAATTTATTAAATTCTTACAATCCCTTTTGAAATACTGACTTGCTCGTTATATTGCTACAGCAGTTTTGTAAATGAAAGTCTATACTTCCTCTAAATGGGGACAATTTTGAACAGTTTTTATAAAAACGGTATCCATTTAACTTGATAATGATTTTTTTTAATAATCTCAAAAAATGAAAAATCTCTTATTATGCAACTTTCATACAGGTGATTTTTCATATACCAACTCCTTTTGACGAGATTTACAAGCTGTTAAAATAAATGACTCAAATTTGAAAACATCCTGTATAAGGACGTTTTAATTTCAGGTCAAGATTTGCTGGAATGGTGTACAGAAATGACCAAGGATTATCCTAGTGTCAAAGTGACTAATTTGACAACAAGTTGGAGAAATGGCATGGCATTTTGTGCATTGATACACCATTTCAAGCCTGAGCTCATGTAAGTTTCTATTTATTCCATTGAAAACAATTGAATGGAGAATATTCAACTGGTGGCCGTCCAAGTGGGGGTGGGATATTGCTTTTGAACAAAAATATTCAAGCAAAACTATGGCTTATTACGCATGATTTTTAAAATATTCATAATTATACGTGTCTCGATTCCGACCCACAAATCAACGTTGTTTTCTGCCCTATTATTTATTGCATATTCGCATAAACCCTTTCAAAAGAAGACGTTTTGGTATTAATATGAATATTTGGCTATCTAAGAATTAATAAGCGAAGGATAAATATATTTTTATTTTAAATTTTGTGTATAAAAACTTCAGCAGGGTCGGTATTAAAACGCCAGACGTTTTCTGTATCATTTTGGGTCTTTGTTTTAGTGACTTTGAATCACTTTCTCCGCATGATGTGAAAAGAAACTGCAAAGTGGCATTTGAGGCCGGCGACAAATTAGGAATTCCAAGAATAATCGAACCTTCTGATATGCATATGCTAGCAGGTGAGCAAGGTTTTGATATTCTTTGGGTGCATTTTATCTTGCCAATAATAATAATAATAATTTAATCACATCAATTAGAGTTTGTGAACAAAAGCATATGCCACAAAAGGAAAATATCCTTGTATGTGGATGACTTGCTAACACAAATTACATAATAAAGCAGCAGTTATAATAAACTGATAGAACTAAAAAAAAAGTATATAGAACATTCCAACAATATTAAAAGTTTTGATTCTATAAACAGTGATTTGGAGGGATATAGTAAAGGTTTATTATGAATTGTTTTTACGAATAGTTTTTGTATCACTGTAAAGAATTTAGATGGTTATTATTCGTGGATCCCCAGATAATAATTCCATAGGTTATGTGGCATTCAACTAATGTTTGATATAAAATTTCTAATTGAGTTTCATTGAAAATTTGTCTGTAGCATCTGAATTTAAATTATAAAAATCTCAGTTCCTTTTTAATGTATTGGATATGTTCATCCCAACGAAGATGGCAGTCTAAAACAATTCCGAGATATTTATGATTTAGTTTACGCTATATATATTTTCATTTTGGAGATTTGTTTTCTTAATATTTACCTGATTATATAGCCGTAACTTATTTTTGTAAGAGGTGAGGGAATAATGTAGTTTTTTATATAATTATTAGTTAATAATAAAGAAGTCTGTTATCTATACTAAATCTTTTTCAATTTCTTCTTTCAATTTTGTCCAAGTTCTGGCTTTATGGATGATAGTGGTGTCATCTGCAAATCCTATTTTTTCCCTTTTTGTTGATAGATTATATAAGTCGTTTATTTATATATATATATATATATATATATATATATATATATATTAAAAATTCCAATGTGTTCTAATTTACTCAATAGTTTCTCGTGATCTATAGTGTCAAATGCTTTTTGTATGTCGATGAATACAGCCAGTGTTGGATTGTTGTTATCAATATTTTTAGTTTTACTACTACTACTAATAATTTCATGGCATCTTTGGTAGATACACCTTTTCTAAAGCCCAACTGTGAATCAGATATTAATTTGAATTTATCAATAAACTGATCCAGTCGTACTTTCAGAATTTTTTCAAATATCTTCGCCAAATTTGTTATTACAGAAATTGGTCTAAAGTTGTTTAATTCTGATCTATCTCCACTTTTATGTATTGCTTTTATATTGTCATAACCTGGCGATTTGTTGTTTTTTAAGTTTATTATAGTTTCAGTAACTTCGTTTTCACCAGTATTCGTTAAGTAGAATAAATTTGGTGTGTATTTTTTCTGTAGAGACTCACTATACGTTGAATTTTTTTGAATTTTATACGTTATATTATTTGGATATATGTAATAGGACATTACATACCTAGTTTACATAGCGCCGAAGGATACCATGTGCGAGTCCAATAATGGCCTTCTCAAACGAGGTATGTATGGAATATATGTCTTTCGGCTAGACCTCGAATTTTTTTGATTACCTCCTCCGTGCAAGTAGGGCGTTTCCACGGTATAATGATATAGTTGTAGTCACCGTTCTTGATGGTTACGTTATCAACGCCATATGAAATAAGTAAACAGATCGAGTCTCCGTACATTGTACAATTTTATATTGAACATTGATAACAGCACAACTTGAATTGCACGCCAATGTCAAGTTCGAGCCGAAAGACATTTATTGCGGGGAGTTAAAAATTCGATAACTTGAATTACAACTTTTGAAAATTTTGAGATACCACTTTTTTATCATAGTTCAAAGATTCAGAAGATGCATAGAAAAATTTTCATGATCAAAAATTGAGAATCTGACATAGCCTCAAACTTTGCTAAAAACATGACTTCCTTTGCTTACCCTGTATATGTGGATAAATAAAAGTAATATACCTGGTGTACCCTGTACGTGTTCTCGAAGAGTTGGTCAAGAACCTTCCGAATACCTCAACTCAATATTTCTTTCCGTTCCGAAAATATCGGGACTTGAATTTGGGTAAAATTTTCCACTTTGCAAATCAACTGTCTACCAGTTTATAATGTTTCATTTCTTGTAACCCTATTGGACAAGAAAAACACATTATTAGAGGTGAGTTGTCCGAATACTCCTATAACTCTGTAAACCTCCTAATTTTGTAAATTTTCGTAAGTCTAAAAAGTTTCGGTTTTGGCAGAAACTAAGTCAATAGGCGAAGGTTCGTTTTCTGCTGCAAATCCAGTTTCGGCGGGTCACTAGTATATATATATATACTAGTGATATATGAATGGATATCAACAACCGGTCAGCTTACTAAATTGTTTGTGTAAATTTCAGTCCCTGACAAATTGGCTGTCATGACGTACCTTCACCAGCTGAGAGCCTACTTCACAGGCTATGAGCTAGAAGTACAACAAATAGGAAAAACTGCGGACGAAAGCAACTACATAATAGGCAAATTCAATACGGACGACACCGAGATTACCAAACAGGCGTACGGCCAGGAAATAGTCAGTTGTATGTTGTCAAATCAGATAAAGAAACAAGAAAACCAGAGGGTGAAGGAGTTGAACGGGGCGAATAAAGATATGAACTTGAAAAAAGCTGACGCTTCAAAACTGAGTTTATCTTTGAAAGCCACCGCTGAACCGAAAGAAATCACCGAAAACGACCTGTCGCTTGCGGCGGCGAAAGATAAGAATATGATCAGCTCGAATAACATCGCTCAGAAGGCAAGTTGAATTAATAGTTTAGGCATCCTAATAGATTTCGAACATAAACGGTTATTTTACTTCCCACGCCAAAAAAGCCTACATAAGTAAAAATCCGACATAATGTCACTTTCCAAATTATGTATAATACCTTGTGACTTTCATCAAAACAGCTGTCCAGTCACAGAACTGTCCAGCGCTTCCACACCAAATCGTTAGGTCCCGTAAAGTTACCCCAGAATAATCTGGGCTGTTAAAAAACGATGTGCCATACGATTTTCCATCGTATTGTAAAGTACCGTGGGCTCAAGCGTTCAGGAGGTAAATTTTGATAAAATATGTTCACATTGTGACGTTGCAGTTATTGAATATGTATACAGAATGCACCATCTGAAAGGTGTTCATTGTATTATATTCCTTATTGAGGCTTATAACATTCAAATCCATACAAAATTTCAAGTGACTTTACGTTGCTTCTGGAAAAATAAAAACTAAACATTGATTTATAATAAATCCAATCTTCTAATGATATATCTATAGCACTCTCTACTGCTGATTCCTGAGTATCTTTATTACCTTCCGAATCCAGATAGTAAGCATTTTTCCAAAATTTATCTTCTGAACGACTGATCGTACCGTACGTTTTAATATTTATAATTAATCATTGGCGATTTTTTGTTAATATGTAACATTGTCTTCCTCACCAGCCCCTCTCCATTGCACCTGAAGAGCTGTTTTTTTTTGAAGTAGGCTATGGAATGCCTCCATCTTATAACAATAATTGCAGAAATAAATTAGTCTATCAACGCATTAATTTGGATTGCTTTGATAATTTGTAAATTACCTTTTTTTTGTTTAAGCGCAGTAAGATAATTTTGTTTTTTTATTATGATATACGAGTAACAACAGCTTCTGTACAGAATAAGTATTACCGAGAGCCGTAGGAACTTCCTCAGCTGTAGGGTAGTTTTGGAAAAAACTATTTCGAAAAAATCTGAATTTTGATTTGGAATTTATTGTGCTCTTAGAACGTGTCAGGGTACATATTTTTTCCAGGGGATTGGAATAGAAGTAATCAAGCCAAACAGTAAATTTTCTGATTATAACTGGTAAAATTTAATCCGAAGGTATTTTAGTCAATGTTCATTTCCTTACTGCTGAAAAACGTTTATGAAAAAATAATTCCCAAGCCTATTTTTCGCAACTAGTCGCTCTTCTTTTTTTTCCTGACACGGCCCATATTCTCGTCGAACGGCCCTTTTCGCACGTTTTCTCCGAATAATAACGTATGCCCTAAGAGTTTTGGTGCAAAATATTTCCAAAGGCAACTTGATATTATTTTGTGTTTGTTAAAATTAAAGCTAATGAATTTTGTGGCAAAACTTTCAGGACATACCTGTACGTTACGGAATTAAATTCGACTTCCGGCAGATTGTCCGTGTCATATGCCGTAATGTGATCGCCATAATTATCTAATATCTTTGGTGAAGGAGTAAAGTCAGTATCTTGCAGATGGGTATAGACGTGTACACGTGGATAGACAAAGAGATGGAGGATCTAGAGCGAGAACAAAGCGTCATCGACGAACAAGCCGCCATATTAGAAAAAGAATTGAGAGATGTCATGGAGTCAAAGGATAGCGACGGTGATGAAGAAGCTCTGATGGCGAAGTGGTTCATGCTCGTCAACAAAAAAAATGCTCTACTCAGACGACAAATGCAACTTAATATTTTGTGAGTAACACGGCAGTTCAAATTGAATTCTCTTCGCTGGTAGATCGATAGTCTAATTATTAACAACTTTACAGATACATTTTGACATAAATTGAGAACTCCCCCTTACTTTTGTCAATACTTTGCAACCGAAAGATAATTACCACAGAATTCGCAAATATTAAAGAACCTAAGTATAGTAAATGCAAAACAGTACTTAACTCACATACATATTTAACTTATCAATGACAACTGGTACCTTTCCTGATTTGTTGAAAGTAGCTGTGGTGTTGCCTGTTCACAAAAAAAGGGACACTGAACTCTTTGAAAATTATCGCCTCATAACATTACCGTCTGCCTTTTCAAAACTATTTGAGAAAATAAATTGTGTCTCAACAAGAGCGCTGGATTTGATTATCAACAAAAACACAATTTCTTTTTGAATTAAGCGAGTATTTATACTTCAACATGAAACCTCTGGCACAGGGTCAGTCTTTTCATAAAATTCTGTATAATATTTTCGCACAACTGTGGCTCTATTTCGTCGATAACGCGCCGTATCTCTTCTTTAAGGCGTTCAACTGTTTGTGGCTTGTTCGCATACATCTTTTCCTTCACATAGCTTCAGAGAAATAAGTCCATTGGCGTTATATTTCACGATCTTGGTGGCCAATTTTGACCGAGAGATGACATGGTCTGGAAACTTGGTCCGCCGTAACACCAATGTTTCGCGTGTTGTGTGGCAGATCGCGCCGTTTTGTAGGAAGAACATATCCTTCACATCAATTTGATGCAACTGGAGCCACAAAAACTCGGTTAAAATGTTGCGATACCTCACACATTTAACAGTTACCGCAGTTCCAGCTGCATTTTTGAAGAAATGCGGTCCAATCACTTCGCCACTTCACAATGCGCACCAAACGGTAACTCGCGGCGTATGCACCGGTTATTCCATGATTGCACGAGGGTTTTCAGAACCCCAAATTCGGCAGTTCTGCTAATTGATGTACCCGTTCAGTTGAAAATGTGCCTCATCAGAGAAAATGATTTACTTCTAGAAATCCGCGTCAATTTGGTGGTGCTAAAAAGCCTAATCATTGAATTCACGGCGCTGCGCATGGTCCGTTAGCTTCAGTTCTTGCGTCAGTTGAACCTTATACGCATGCAAGCACGGATCTTTTGTCAAAATTCGTTGCAGAGTGGGTCTGGTAACGTTCGATTCTTGACCACGATGCCGAATGGAAGTGCCTGGATTCTCGGCCACACTTTCCCGCACTGCGACTATATTCTCGAGGGACCGATCAGGACGGCGACGATCATTGGTCTTCACATTCAGCAACGTGAATTTTGTCTCAAATTTTGTTATTAAACGGCGAACTGTCGACTCATTTGGCTCATTGTTACGACCGAAAATTGATAGTGATTTTCTTCATTTTTGTAGCGAGTTTTCACAATAATTAAACCTTGCTCGTTTGAATACTGCTCCATGACGTCTGATCGTGTAGTCTGGACATGACAGCTGCCATCAAGTAAACACCATACCATTTGTACAAAAATGGCGGCAAATCCAAATCCGGCGCTTTTGTTGAGACACCCTTTAGTTTATAATAGAACGTATGCTTTTTCGAATGAGCACAATATTTTATCTGTTGAACAACACGGTTTTCGAACAAATACGGCAGCATTTTCATTGCTTTCGTTCGTCTATAAAAACCTTGATGAAAATTATTACACAGTGACAATATTTTTTGATTTATCAAAAGCATTCTACTGTGTTCGAGCTAACATCCTCGTGAATAAAATTGAAGGCTATGGTTTCAGAAGATCCGTAGATCAATGGATTCTGTCATGTCAAACAGAAACATTCAGGTTCGGTTGGCTAGCACTATCTCTAATCCACATGGCATGCTTTGGAGTATCTCAGGGTGGAGTGCTGTCACCATTTCTGTTTTTATTATTTATGAACGATTTATGGTTTGTTTGTACAGTAGTCGGTAACCTGTCTGTGACTGTCAAAATCGGAATCAGATAGATGTTACCTGTTCGTACAGTTTCTGACTGTTTGCCGACAGCTAATCCGCTATTCGTACAGAACCTTCTGACAGATCAAAGGACACCTGTCAATCAGTGACAGTGATAGGCATCAGAGTGTGTCGAATCTATTAGGATCGATCCGGAATTGATCCTAAACAGATTCGACAAAAATGTGTATTTGAGCGTATAAAACAAGGCGTTGCAGCAAGTTACAGTTGTGTTCTGGGGCCTTCGTCATTGTTGTGCCAGGCAACGTGGTGTGTGTCGCACTTTTTCTACACAAGTGGTGCCCGCTTCCCCCCCTCTCTCTCTCTTCCTCGTACACATGAAAATCTAAAAGGGAAATGGACTTTCTCCAGCACTTTATGCAAGTAGTTGAACTATGATTTGCTATTGTATACGTTATATACATTTTATACATTGTTATACGTGAATATCGAGACGTATGTATATATTCACCATTGTATACATGGTATATGCAATGCGCCCATCACTGGTCGACATCCGTGAAAAAAAGCTGTATCACAGAATTTGTTATTTTGTTTTTTTTTCATCGACTTTGGGTTGGACTTAGCTAGAATATATAAATACTGTTTGTACATACGCGTGGAGGATGGACGACAAGGGAACGGGTTATTCAGAGTTCTTACTATTTACTTCTTCAACTTGCCATTCGATATGTGGAATCACATTTCTTCGAATTTATGTTTATACTATTTAAATCAGAATTGAATGGAAATTACTGAGTAAATCTACCTGACATGTTTGGGTGCTGTTATTTTTTCTAGAAAGTGTCCCATGTTTTCCTCTCTAGAGGAAGATTCGGGCAGTTGAACGATAAATCCTAGATCATTCTGGTTTAGAGCAAATTAACATAAGCCAAATGTTCCAAAATTGTCTACTTCATTCTGAAAATGTTTACATTCGAATAATTATTGTACTTGATTTCGAGCTGTGACAATTTACTGGCAAATCATCTGCTGACTAATTTGACAGTCATCAGTCAGAAGTTTCTGTAGTTGTCGGTAATCGGTCTTACCTTTCTCAGCCAACTCGTAACGTTCTCATGTATGCAATCTATACAGTCAGCGACGTGTCAGTGACAGCTAATTAAACTAGGTCATGACTTGTCGCCGACTATCAGTTTGCTGATTGTCAGCAAACAGGCTGTACGAACAAACCATTAGATGAGTATATAATTGATAATAATTGTCTCTTAGTTACCTTTGCTGATAGACACAACTATAACAGTTACTGGAAAGAGTGACATAAAACATACAAATGTTTAGGTCTAATAGTGAATGAACATTTGAGCTGGAAAGACCACATAGAATATGAAGCCAAAAAAAATTGAATTCAGTATTTTTTGCTCTAAGAAACTTGAAATATGTGATGAATACAAAACACCTATCGAACGTCTACTGTATCTGTTGATGCCCAACGAATTTTTATCCCTCAAAACAGAATAGTCGGACTCTTATTCTCATTGCATCCTCTAGTCTTGTCGAAAAACATTTAGAGATGAAAAAATCCTAATACTTTATCATCATTACTTATCTTAGAGGCGTGCCCCCATGTGAAATTATATCCTTTCCTAATCTTCGTACCTAAAATAGTCAATCTAAGGAATAATAACAATGTTACATTGAACAGCTATAGCCGCAGCACATACCGTAATAGCCCCGACTATCTATGTGGATCTATCTTCAATAATTTGTCATCCGAGTTAAAAGCCATCGACCACTTAAGAGTCTTCAAAAACCCTAAGTGTTTTTACTCTTTACAAGACTACTTATTTTATAACTTCTCATCTATTTTGTTCTAATTCAGTCATGTATATTTTTATTCTGCCTATGTAAATCTGACCTTTTCGTGTTGACGTTTCATACCCGCAAGACATTTTGAATAAAAGTTATTATTAAATTTCATTTCCAGAGAAAAAGAAGCAGATCTCGAGACTAGATACAAAACGTTGAACTTGGAACTTCAAAAGATATCGTGCATCGAAGATTGGAGAAAAACCAAAGAACATCGGAATAGAGAACAGGCCTTACTAGATGAACTTGTGCAAATAGTTAACAAGAGAGATGAATTAGTTCATCACTTGGATAACCAGGAAAAAGCGTAAGATTGTATACCATATATTATTCTCATCTAGTCTAATCATATTAGATGAAAATACCCCTGGTTTGCGAAATAATTGTAAAGTCTGGTTTTACTGATGCAAGTTGTTCAAGGAGATAATTGAAACATGGACGCATAAAATGGTTACATCATTTTTTGTGGGAAAAAGTATGAAAAAATCTTGAGAAAAAATTGTTTTCTTCGCAACAAAAGGTGATGGACACATCCGCTTTGTTTTAAGGTGTGTATAATAACATATGTTTTTCGAATATCGTAGCGAATCTGTTCAGTTACAAGCAAATATGAAATGTTTGAATTTGTTTAGAAGAAAAAAACGTAGCGGTTCGTTTATTGCATTAAAACAACAATTATCTTTTGGAATGGTTTGTGATTTATGTCTGCAAGGTAAACTCGTTGCTATAAAATGCCCTCTGAACGAACCCTGTATATTGCTCAGTAAACTAGTAGTGATGGCCGGAAGACATGTTATGGAATAAACAATTAGAAATTCTCAAAGACTTCTTAACCAATCGACTCCAATTTTGTTGTGGTTACTTAGAAGTATGAAGCCTACGGATTTGAAGAATTTCAAGTAGCTGTGTGAAATGATCGTCGCATTAGCAGCAAATGCCAAAATCTGCATTTTGCCCCGGTTTTCGGCCATAACTTTTTTACTGTTAGTCGGATCTTTTAACGTATGATCTCATTTTGTAGGTCTCATAAATACCTAAGAATCTTATTTGAATAGTTTTTTAGTTCCTGCCAACACGTTTTCTCATTCTTTGTTGTCGAATTAAAAAAACCGGTGTACCCATTTTCTGCGTCCATGTTTTAAATAGCCCCTTGAACAACCTGCATTAATAAAACCAGACTATAATTATTTCGGGGAAATTTGCTAATATGATTATTCTAATCGTATGACGTATTTTTAGGATCGAGGATGACGAAATAATCGAGAAGGACCTCACGAACATTGAACTACCCGCAAAAGATGGCAATTGTGTCATCTCGTAATAACTTTGTCGTTTTAGGGCAATCTGGTACATACTTTTTGTTTTTCTTAATGCAAATGAGGTTGGTGCTTTTTGTGATATTTGTGAATAGTTAATTTTGTTATTGCTTAAACTGATTTATTTTGCGAGTCGATATTGTATTTCTTCAATTCGCTGTGATCACTTAGTGCTGGATCTAGGAGGAGGTAAAGCAGGGACAAGTATTCAAACGGGAAACTACAACCTCACGGCTAAGTGCAAAGTGGAAGCAGACAAGTGAATATCTATTTGCACCAAGCAAATTAGGTGCCAAAATTAAAGGGAAAGGGGATAAAAATACGATATTTCAAATGCATTAAAATGCAACACTATTTTTTGCGGTTTTTGCTCTTATTTCTAAAACCGAGTTGTGTATGTTTTATTGCAGACTTCCTGAGATCGAGCCAATCCATAAATTAACAAAAACGCTATTGCCAAAACTCTCTTGAAATAAAAATTATTTTTGAAACCCCCAATTATTTCTTAGGAAATTTGATCGCTTGTTTTTATTTCGTCCGATACAGTTTTCCGTTAAAAATAAAAACTATCTGTTTCTCTGCATGTTCATAACAGTATCGTTAATTCGATATCACCATGCAGAGAAATAGATTTTATTTTATTTCTACTTACATGGGTGAAGGTCCACAATAATTTTATTTGTTTATAAATAGAAAAATACCAGTCAAAAATCACTAAACGATTCGTTAATTGTAATAACGCCTGAAAAGATAAAGTCCCTGCTTTTGATCATTTTAACCTTAAGTACCTGTTGTTACACAAATGAAACGTGGTATAGTTGGTAAAACTGCTAATAGATGGAGACACATGCTCCAAACAAGAGGTGTATCAGATATGATACGTAATGCACTTAAGGGTTAAGTTGCCAAAAAACAACTTGAAGAAATAAGACAGCCAGAAGATAACAAGGAAGATAATTCAAGATCAAGAATTACAGAACCGAATCTTGTTGTTGGTGCACATGCCTCAACTATGAGGCTAGGGAATGGATTCGCTACATTGTCACTTTTGAAAAATCCTAGATCTAGTACGATCGTTTCATTGAAAAGACCTAGCTTTAATCTTCTTTGATATCCATCTATATATAAGTAATGTATCTGTATAGTTGACCTTTGTGTTTAATGTTCCGAATTTTGTTACTGTATATATTATTTATGCAAATTAATATTGTGAAGTAGTTAGTTTATTTATTCCACATTGAGGTGAGCAGCCACTGCGAGTAAAACTTGACAACTGAAAAATTAGTTCAGCACTATTATACTAGTGAAAGAAAACACTCGTATCTCGACAATCTGTCAGTAGAAATTCACAAAACTATCAAATTTATACATGACATGATTCAAGTGAAGAATTACTCGTAATTTTAATTTATATTAACCAATTTGTACTGTCAACTGCCGCTACTGCTGAATCGTTAATAAAGGATCTTATTCGTTTAAATATAGTTTTAATATTTGACCTGATAGGGTGAATGTGCCAGCAACCCGGACGCTACCACTAGTCGGACAAATGTTACATTGTTGGTAAAAACTTGAAATCCTTTACCAGATTTACCAACTAATAAAATCAATTTTTGTCATTTGTGTAGTGAGTATCATAAGTACATAGGCAAGTACAATCGTCAGCTGACAATATTATACAAGTTTTAGGTCTACTGATAAATAGAAAGTGATTGAAATTTCTACTCGAAATTTCGCAGAATAGCTGAGATTTCGCACCTTCGGCATTGATTGGATTAGGTGATTGATGTCTTCTTGGTTTACTGTATCCCAGGCCATCTGAATTTAGTTTCGCAGAGCCTCTAATGATTGTGGAGGGTGCGGTGAATTTTACAACCTTCTTCGTATAATGTCCCATACATGTTCGATGGGGGAAAGGTCTGGAGATCGATGAGGCCACTGAGGCAGTTTTAGTATGGACGCTTCTAAAAAGTCTAAACTAACACGTGCGTCATGAGGTCGTGCATTGTCTCCTGCTGAAAAAGTGGATCTTGCAATGTTTCCAAAAAGGGAAGCAGATGTGGTTGTAAAACTTCGTGGATATAGCGCCGTGCAGTCGTGCGACCTCGATTGAACACTAATGGTGACCTGCTGCCGTAAGCAATGGCACCCATACCATAACACCCACAGTGCGATGAATATGTCGTTCGATTGAATATTAGACGTTCCATCTTTCACCACGTCTCCTCCTCACTCTTGCACGGCAATCATGTGTGCCCAAACAGAGTCTGGACTCACCACTGAACACGACCGAGTTCCATTCAAGTCTCTCCCTACTCCCTACCAATCCTTGTCTACGATGCTGTGGGATCAGAAGTAGTACAAGACTTGATGACTTTGACGACCAGTGCCTCTAGCTCGTCGATTTCGGCCTTTTTGGAACCGCGCTCGACAACATCTCCATCACAGTAGCTTCGTTTCGATCCACCCGATTAGCGATTTTTCTAAAAGAAAATCCGGCTTCACCTAACTCCATTATCCGACCCCTCTCAAACTCGTAAAGTTCAGTGAATATTACGTAAACATGTTTATATTGTTTGGATCCTGATATGACCAAAAAAGTACGCCTCTGAATGCCTCGAACATTTTATCAGCGTATGCTTCCATGATAGCAAATATGTTTACAAGTTTTTAACAAAAATCAATAAATAATTCTGGGTGTTACATTTATATGTTAGTTAGTATATAAATACTGTTCTTGTTACATATCCAGAAGACATCTAAAATTTACGAAATAAATTGATCTTAATAACATACGTTATTTTAACATTTTGAGGACAAATTGGAGTGGCCACTGACTGGATCATCATACTAGTCAAAGTGGCGTGGTCTAAATCAATTTATCATTTTCCCTTTAAACATACTCGTAGAAACTATTACATTTTTCTCTTGGAATTAAACAAACCAAAATAAGTCTGCAGCCCCAGCCAGCGGATGGACAATGAAAGATAATGTGGATTATGGCCAGTGAATATTGTGTCCGACTACTGGAATGAACGAATTTTCATAGCATCCCAATAACCAATCACTTTTCCCGAAATGTTTTCACAACTGTGAAACACAATTTCACATATCTACTTCATTCTGGAATGGATACCAAGAAAAAAATAAACTTGTTGATTAAAAAAAGATTCTCTGTTTTTATTGGTTTATATATAATTTTACAATTGTATCAACAATATTATCCTGATCCATTTTTGGTATAAAGTGAGAGAAATACATATCAAATATAATCTGAAATTGATCTAGATTTGTTATGTCTTCAAGACATATTAGTACGAGGGTTTTTTTCTTATTTCTTTTAGTGGACACAGCAGCACCATCCAATACACTAGCTAAAATAAATGCTGCAAAAAAACTACTGTTTTTGTCTAGCGCTTCAAGATATGTTTTAAAGTGAGATAGTATAATAATATTTGGAGCTTTATGCCATAAGTGTATTCCATTGAGTTCAGTTATCAGATCTTTAAAATCTTTGAGGTACCTAAAATATTTAATACTTTATTATGAAATATTTTTCTTGGGGAAGAAAGGGGTTTCAAATCCTCAAAATTATACAGAAAATCATGCAAAATATGTAAATTTTAGGGCTGAATTGGATTCCTAGGGGGACATGGCACCCATGGAAGAGGACACAATAACATATACCTTTTGAAAATAACATTAAACTTAAATTAAATACTAAAACATTTCATCTGTTAAGTACGAGTATAGGTATTTACCAAATAAAGAATTGGTTTACTCACAGAAATGTAATTTGTTGCAATATCTCTTTGTCTATTTGGACAATATTGACGGGTATATTTTCGAATGGTTTAGGAGATATAAACCAAACTTGAAGGCTTTGCTCTGCGAATAGTAGAGCGATCTGTGGAAATTATGAACAATTAATGGACATGACAAAAATAGTCTTTGTTTTCAAACAAGTTTCGAATCTCACCTTAAACAAGATATATTCAGGATTTTCATTTAGGTGGAGTACAGAAATTAGGTTTTCCGCATCCATTTCATTATCTAGAATTCCATAAACTTACAATAAATTTTATCAGCATCTTTAAGCTTCCATAACCAAAAACAATACGAATAGTTTTTGGCGGGAAGCTGTGCGGAACGCAAGTATACGAGTATCCATCACAGTAGAATGTCAGGTGGTTATCTAGTAATATTTCAAAATTTCCCATATCGACAAAGGACACATAATTCTGACGGATCCGTCAATGCCAGGTAGACAGAGCTATTTTGTTTTGATTTTTTTGTACGCTACAGATTCATTTTGTATTTGCTAAAAGCTCTTTTATTTAGAAAAGTTCATTTGCAAACAAAAAACAAAACGCTACAAACAACTTTTTGATAGAATTACACCCGATTCATTATAGCCAACATTGCAGACTAACACAAAAATGTCACTTGCTGATCAGCTGTTCATCTCGGTAGACGACAAAGCGTGATGGATATCCGTGAAATAGGGTATACCCAGCTGCCCAGCTCGAAACGGAAGGGGGGCACCCACAAAACATATACACTTGAGAAGGTTCTGTCACTGTCACGTCCTATCACGGTTGATTTATGTCAGTGTCAATCACCATTTTTTCTGGATACATGGTTGCCAGATTGTGCTGGAACGCCCGTATGCAACGTTGCCGGCTCTTTGCATAAATCTCAGTTTTATCAACTTTTTTTGAGGTACAAACATTTGAAAAGTAACAACAAACCCTTTTTGTTGAAGTACTTATTCAAACCTGAAATCTACTGAAATTGACGTGAGATTCTCATATCAACTACAGGATACCAATATTCACAGAGAGCTTTACAAAACACTCAATTTGACATAAACATACATCAGGTATGATTGTGAAATACATTAGCCATCGTCCTGAAACACTGAATTGTCGATATACTCATATATGCCCGGAAGAGAAAACAGTAGCAAGTAATCCATATTCTATCTATATCTGATCACCATGTGGAATGAAGGGCCTTCACATGTGCTTCTTGAAACAAGTGGAAATCCTCAATAATCGTAAGGTTCTAACAAACACAAATTGACGGGCAATCACGACGTGCATTTTCAATGGGCTTATCACGGCGTGGATTCTTGATAGACAATCACGACGTACATTTTCGTTGGCCTGATCACGATGTGGATTCTCGACGGATAACCACGACGTGCATTTTCGATGGGCTGATCACGACATGGATTTTTGAAGGGTAACCACGACGTACATTTTCGATGGGCTGATCACGACATGGATTCTTGACCGGCAATCACGACGTGTATTTTCGATGGGCTGATCACAATGTGGATTCTTGATGGGTAATCACGACGTGCATTTTCGATGGGTTGGACACGACATGGATTCTCGACGAGTAATCACGACGTGTATTTTCGATGGGCTGATCGCGGCGTATATTCTTGACGGACAATCACGACGTACATTTTCGATTGGCTGATCATGGCGTGGATTCTTGAGGAGCAATCACGACGTGCATTTTCGATGGGCTGATCACGGCGTGCATTCCAGACGGATAATCACGACGTACATTTTGGATGGGCTGATCACAACGAGGTTTCTTGACGGGTAATCACGACGTGCGTTTTCGATGGGCTGATCACAATGTGGATCCTTGACGGTTAATCACGACGTGCATGTTTGATGGGTTGAACACGACGTGCATTTTTGAAGGGCTGGCCACGGCGTGGATTCTTGATGGACAATTACGACGTGCATTTGCGATGGGCTGATCACGGCGTGGATTCTTGAGGAGCAATCACGACGTGCATTTTCGATGGGCTGATCACGGCTTGGATTCTTGACGGAGAATCACGATGTACATTTTCGATGGGCTGATCACGACGTGGATTCTTGACGAGTAATCACGACGCTTATTTTCGATGGGCTGATCACGGCGAGGATTCTTGAGGAGCAATCACGACTTGCATTTTCGTTGGGCTGATCTCAGCGTGGATTCTTGATGGACAATCACGACGTGCATTTTCGATGGACTGATCACAGCGTGGGTTCTTGAGGAGCAAACAGAAAGTGCATATTCGATGAGCTGACCACGGCGTGGATTCTTGACGGGTAACCACGACGTGCATTATCGAAGGGCTGAACACGACGTGGATTCTTGAGGAGCAAACATGACGTGCATTTCCGATGAGCTGGTCACGGCGTGGATTTTTGACGGACAATCACGACGTGCACTTTCGATGGGCTGATCATAGCGTTGATTCTTGAGGATCAATCACGACATGCATTTTCGATGAACTGATCACGACGTGGACTCTTGACGGGTAATGACGACGTGCATTTTTGAAGGGCTGATCACGGCGTGGATTCTTGAGGAGCAATCACGACGTGCATTTTTGATGGGCTAATCACGGCGTGGATTCTTGAGGAGCAATCACGACGTGCACTTTCGATGGGCTGATCACGACATGGTTTCTTGACGGGTAATCACAACGTGCATTTTCGATGGGCTGAATACGACGTACATTCTTGACGGGTAATCAAGAATCCACGCCGTGATCAGCCATCAAAAATGCACCTCGTGATTGTCCGTCAAGAATCCACGCCGTCATTGGCGCATCGAAAATGTCCGTCGTTATTACCCGTCAAGAATCCACGTCGTGATCAGCCTATCGAAAACGCACGTCGTGATTGTCCGTCAAGAATCCAGGCCGTGGTCAGCCTGTCGTGATTGTCCGTCAATTTGTGTTGGTTAGAACATTGAGGTACTTTTACATATGAGCAGGCACGCACTGAGAATACGCGCACGCATTCGTGCGCGTGCGTGGAGTGTTTAAACTGAAATTCATTTTTTATGGGCACGGGCTGATCCAGTCGTTCGCGCATAAGGTTAACATGGGGAATATATATATAGCCGCGGCAACATTTATTATACTGTATAATTTAATTAAAAGAAAAGTAAATTGGAGACAAAAGGAATTAGTGTTAGACACTAGACAGTCTGTACGATGAATTCAGAAATTTTGCAAGAATGACCAAGGCTGACTTTGAATACCTGCTAATGTTGGCAACACCAACGATAATGAAAATTGATACACAGTTTCGAAAATCTATATCACCAAGAAAACGTTTAGCCATAACCTTGCGTTTTTTTGGCAACTGGGGACACCTACAGCAGATTGCAGTATCTTTTCAGAGTGTCAAAATCTTCATTTTGCTTTTTTTTCGAGACGAAATTATCCCATCAGAGTTTTAATTTTATTTTTTTGTGTGCTTCGCAACAGTATAAATTTTAAATGCTACAATTGATTACTAGTTGCTTCCATGCACCATTATTTTTTTTGATTTTGAATAATACTCTTCGTGCCTAACGTCCCACAGTACCGATAATTTCTCAAACTCTTGCAGGAGTTTTCGAACTTTAGTATTATTCCATTTCATCATTTACTGGACTAAATACAATCAACTCTTGAATCCTGTGCGTCGCGTTGTCGTTTCCGTCCACACTGAGCATTCGCGAACCCATTAATTCCTTTGAGCGACGTCCTGGGACCGGCAACAGGCGGATCGTATTCGCTGTTGCTCGCGCACAGGATGAGCGTGCGTGCGTGCGACATACACTGAAGATAGGATGTTGCGCATGTGGGCGGAGCTTCGTGACGTCACTTTGAGAGTTGTCGGCTCGTGGTTACGTAGCAGGATTGTCGTAACGTTACTGCAGTGCACGTGTTTCGTGGTTAGTACTATATAGTGCGATTTGTTGGTCATTTTTGGTGGTTTTGTGACTTGTTGTATTAGCTATACATACTTTATATACCCTGTGTGGTTGATAAATTGATAGAAATGCGGTGTGCTGTTGTGGGATGTAATTCCGACATGAACGGAATCCTTGCAAAGACATGAAGTTCCACAGTTTTCCGCAAGACCCAAACCTGAGCAAAAAATGGCTAAATCTTACAAAAAGAAAAGACAAAGTCAATGTAAAAAGCGAAGGGTTTGCTCGCAAATGCTCCTAGAGTATCTAAAACGAAGCTTCAGCGACCAATACCTGTTAACAAGACGTCTTAATCATGATGTGATAGAAAACGTTTTCGGAGTAATTAGGGCAAAAGGTGGTCTTCACGACCTTGCAAGACCCCTAGAGGTTAAGTATAGAATAAGGTCATATATTTTGGGGCGAAACGAAGGCGCATTCTGAGAGTATTCCAGCGTAGAGACAGAGGATACTCCAGACATTCCACTAACCACTAACCTCATCATTAAACGAATAAACTGAATGCACCTGAAGGATCAGCTGACTATAACGAGGAAATTTTAGTGAAAGAAATAGATGAGCTCGAGTATGACGGGCTGGAAAATTTGGCCGTCTATTTTTGCCATAAATTGCAGGATGGGAGGTTGAAAAGTTCCCTAAATGAAACTTATTCCTGGGTAGACTATCTTAGTGAGGGTACATTACCAAAACCTTCCACAGCTTTCGTGAATCAAACTGAGAAGCTGAACAAAGTGTTTACTACATTCAACAAAATTTTATAGGCGAACTTCTGTTGAAGAGCAGCAACATTGACTGCCCTGAAAAAGCTAAAAAACTATTTTCCAGGTCAAAGATGATCTTCCGGATCAAAGAACTGAATGAAAGTTTGAAAGACCAGAAAAATCGTAAAAGGAAATTGAGAAAAATTGATGCTTAGACTGCGTCATTTTCATTTATTGTTATACCGCCTGCTTACTGCAAAAAGAAGATAACTCTTTTTTTTCTACTTTTCGAGTTGCGTAAATTTTCACACTTACATGTACTTAGGATGTTCTGTGAAATAAGGATAAATGTAGTGCAGTACTACCGTCATGAGCATGTTAATCCTGCTCCACAGAACATACTAAAATATAGGTTATGTAGAGAAATGGAGCTATCTTGTTTTTACAGTAAAGTGACAATACGCTCTATTGTGGAGTTAAAAAGTCGCTTAAGCTATAGCCTGTGAAACAGGAATTGCAAGGTTGAAATCTTTTATTTAAATTCGGCATTTTGTTTTGTATAAAATTCTAATGTACCCAGTGTCACTCGCACCGCTCAGACGAATCCAACGACACTTCATATGTGAAAATCCGTCCAGCCGTTTGCACTGTAGGTGAAAATATGCACTTTATCCATATCAACTCAAGTGAGAATCACTCTCAGCGTGACGTCATGCGCTCTGGCGGACGAAAATCGAACATCGGAGCAATATAGATTGGGCATATATCTCGACAATTACAGTTACTTTTTATATATTTGTACCTTAAAAAGAAGTTGATAAAAGGTAAATCTGAAGTTAGATATCCTGATAATATATTATAGTCAACATGTTTGAATTATAAGTGAAAATTTAGACTTTCGGACTTTAATGGTGTGAGCAAATTTGATAATAATACTTTTTGACGGACAAAATCAGAGAAAAGCGGTTTCATGTGATTGGAAGATGGCAAGTAGTAAGCATCATAGTTATCTAATCTTGAGAATGTTCAAATCTCGCTCTCTCCATCTATCACAGCTCATGAACATGTTTACCCATTTCATATTTATTACGCTTCTTTTTGTAACTTAGCATGATGGAATTGTATTAGTTTAGTCAAGTACAGAGTGTTTCCAAACATGGGACAAGGATTCCGATGCGTGACTCTTGGGACTAATATTGATCCTCTCGATTTGCGAAACACTCTTGATTCCGAAGAAACGGCCCCAAATAGGTATATTTTAAAGAATTTTCACATAACGTCGCCTAACTCAAAAAATCGCACCAAGATATGCGTGTCATTCGATAAGTCATCCAAAAATCCAGCGTTTTTGGCCTTTTAAAAATTCCTCAGTTTTTTAGAACTTAGGCGTAGATATAATCCAACGAAAACTATTCACTCATTCAGTTCGCCAGAGACAGACTAGCCATAAACGCAATTTTTGAGCACAAGGTCTCCCGGCGAAAAGAGAAATATTTAGTTGTATGATTTTGCAGCTCTGTGGAATCCAATGCAAAACGCGACGTTGCCATTTAACGCATGTTGCGGGTTTCCATGCATCAGTCGACCCCACATGATCTATCCCAAATACCTGTAATAGAATAGTACGAGTGGCAACGTCGCAACCACCCTCAGCGTTGCACCCCCGGCCGTCCGCGAACGAGAATCGCAGCGCCGACGGTGTGCGTGTGCCCTGTCAGTAGTGTTGCGCGGGCGTGTGTTACCGTGCGCCAAACGCGGCGATCGGGGTGCCCTCCGCGCGTGTTGGTGCTGCGCCCCTTCGATCCGCGCCGCGCTGATGCAGGGCCCCGATCCTAGTTGACATGCACCTGCCGCCGTTGCTGCTCCCCAGCTACCGCTATCGCCGAAGGATATGGAGGCCACCAGCTCCGAGGAGGATAGCGCCACCTCGGCACCCAGGTGAGACTCCACACCGCCTCAGCTGCATCGATCCCGAGGAACCCATACCAACACCACCGAAAGTTTCATGCACCCGTAATCGGTTTCTCAGACATTTGGTTACAAGATTTAATAAAGATATCAATCTGTTCGGCTGCACCCAAATTAGTGAAAAGGGATGACAAGACACGACTTAGATGTATTGAAACTGCTGCGCCAGGAGAACCCTCACATTTTATTTTGTAAGAAAAGCGCGTCTCTTGTTAGCGAATCAAGCAAGATTAAGAGAAACTGAACCTAACATATTATTCGCGGTTTGTAAAGGATAATTAGAACATTAATTTGGACCCATGGACACCTTAACTTGAATCATGACTAACGTGCCCATTTACTTTTCTAGCCAGAGCGGCACATCTGTGAAATAGTGAAATTGTATAATAAAAAAAAGTTTTTTCGTGTCTTATTATAGAAGATAGAATAACACAAAATAATCAAAGCACTAAACACAAAATAGTTAAGTAGACACGACTTACTAAGCTCCAGTAGTATCGTGACTTCTAAGTCGTATTTTTGGATTTGTCGGCTGAACAAATTGTTTAAAAATATCGGGTCTCGTTTTTAGATAAGTGTGGAACTCGGTACATGATTTATTTATATTTATCTTCGTAATCGAAAAAGCTTTCATTACTGCGACACTTAACTGTGTTTTATCAGTTGTCCATATTTTGTTCATATGAGAGAAAACTGTTTCTACAGGTGCGTTACTTCCAGGTAGGCACGAAACGTACTCAATAATGGTAGAAAAGTTGGTTAAATGAAGATGGTTGGTACGAAAGTGCTGGAATAATTTGACCAAACGGTTTTCAGTAGAAATATCCTCGGCATTCCAACCAAAGATTTTTTCAGCTGTCGCAAAGTTGGAAATAAGTAGAAATTTTGAATTATCGTTTGGTCTGTTTGCAAAAACGGGACTATTTCGGCCTCGCTGGGGACGCCGGGACAGACAGCCTAAAAGCGGGACTGTCCCGACCACAGCCTATGGTCGTATGGTCATTAATCATGACATAACTATAGAGAAAATTACCAACGACCGAAGCGCACATCCAATTTTAGTAATTTGTTTAAAATCACGTTATAAAGTGCCGATTATGACATTCAGAAATTCAGTGCTGAAGGACTACGGGATACTCTATTTGCAGCATTTTGATTGAGGGGGGTTACGATTACTGGAAAAATAGAAACAACTATATAGACTGGCGAAGCAATAAAAAGCAGTATATCTCTCAACTCGATTGTCCGAACAACTATTAGCGTGAGTGGCTGAAGTTTTCAAGTTTTCAAAACACTTTATTATGGCTATTTTTAGTAACCAACTAATCTCTCGAATGGCTAAAAGTATCTTCTCAAATTTCAGTACGCAAGTAGGCGGCTTTTAATCTCCATGTTTTTTTTTTTTTAGGTTTTTTGGATCATTCTGGACAAAAAGGTACCTACTTGGTTACTCTCCTGTAAAGTTGACCGCTTTCGATTATCCGAAATCCGCTTTATCCGAAACATATCGCATTTCTCCGTTTTAACCGAAGTTGTTCGGGAAATCAACGCATGATCCGAAATAGCCGCCGGTAGTTCCCCTTTCGAGGTTTGCGTCATTAGGTTTGGTGCCGGCGATTCCCCAAGCGCGTTTGCGGAATTCACTGGTATGTATGCGTGTATGCTTGTGCAGACTATGAGAATAGCAAACGAACATGTTTATATTTTACGTATATACTCACTTAACACACGCATTTACTTTTTTCAATAAAAGCATTATGAGTCTAAATATTTATTTCAGTTTTATCCGAAATTTCGATTATCCGAAAGCACTAGGGCCACATTATTCCGGATAACCGGGTTTCTACTGTATATATTAATTGATGTCTGAAGTCTCCTAAAAATAGGGTACTCACATTTTTCTCAGGCACAAGGAATTTTTTATTCGAAAAAACGAATTTCGCAAAGTTACAGCGTTGGGAACCTTATTTTTGAAACAACCTTCGTATTTGCAGCTGCAGGATTATCCTTACCAAAATTTTTGAAGCTACTATTGGAAAGAGCAAGGCGACTGGAGCAGGGTTTTCCCGTACCCAAACTTTTCCCTTCTCCGTATACAGGGTGTTTATTTATTATTTAAAAATCAGCACTTGTATACCGATTGGAGCTTATAAAGCAAATAATGGAAAAATATCATCAAACTGAGTTTACTCCAAGAACAGGACGACCTTCAACCCAGCTCACTCCGCTTCGTCTGACAGGACGACATTTTCCAGATCTTATTCCAGCTACTGAGAAAAAGACAAATCCAACCAGACAATGTGGAATTTGCAGCAGGACTGAACGCGGAAAGAAGATTAGAAGAGAAACCAAATATTACTGTCCAGATTGCGAAACCCCCTTGTGTGTGACTCCATGCTTTAGGATTTACCACACAGTTGCAAATATTTAAAACAATGTTTTTTTTACTTACTTACATATAATTTTTAAGTTTTAGATGTGTTACCTTAGGTTTGTTCCTCAAATAAATATTTTTTTTGTTGCCAAGTTTTCGTAGAGAAATCAGATAATTTCAAATGAATCCGGCCTAAAAGTAGGAAATATGATTTGTTTACAAAATAATTGTTATTAACAAGGATCTTCCTCCTCAAGATGGGGTAGGAGAGGGTTAAATATTTCTTCGAGGAACCTTATTTTCAAGTTTTTATAGAGATTTATCTCAAACACTATTTGACCTATGAACATGAAATAATTCCTAAACGTACATGAAGCAAATGACTGTCAATGCATCGTGCACATCGTATTTGATATTTATAGTTTCCCTTTTCCTTCCATCGGCAGCTTCCGCTAAACATTCATACTTTGCCACACGAATATGGATCGATGCCATAACAACACTAATATATCCAGAGTGTATACACCCGCTGCCGTTACAGTTCCTCCATAGGTCTCTCCCCGTCTAACTGTTTCCCTTCCCGTTCCCATCAAACATTTTAGTTATAATTACTTTAATTCGATCACAAAATAGGTAAAAAAGGTTGCATGACCAATTTAAAAAATATATTTACGCGTTTATACATGTGCGAAAGGTTGGAAAATCTCGAAACTGGAGATACTATAGACCAAAATATGTGAATTGACCTAAACATACCTTATAGTCCAAAAGTTGATAGTTTGTGAGATACAGGGTGTCAAAGGTTACAATTTTATTTTGTATTTTTTCTTATTGCTTTAGAAGTATTTCAGATTTTGGCATAAAACTCGGTATAAGGAGGTTTTCTAGTATGAGAAACAAGTATCCGTTATTTTTTACGGCCAAACTTCTAGAGGGCGCCATTTACAGCACTACTTCGGTAAATAACTTATCATAACATTTTGTACTACCCTGTATACAACAACTGACCGAAAAATCTCGTTTTCTCGTATTTCCAAAAAAGGTTTACTTGTTAGAAGTGTATAAAGCTAATAGTTTTCGAAATATTTGTTTTTAAAGGTTCCAATGCATTATTTGTACCATGATGATAAAACATTTTTATGAGTCAATAATCAAGTTGCTTTGGACAATATCTGAGTAGCGTTGCTATGTCAATGAGCCGATCTCTTTCAAATTATGCTTCGTCCGGAAATAATATGAACGAAGTAAAACCATTGTCGTCGTTAAACTTCCTTAATGTAGTTTTTGCAGGTGGTATGGATGGAGCAGTTGCTCTTGAACAATGGAATTTACTGTACATTTGGAAACTTGAATTCCCGAGCTACATTCCTAACCCCAAATGTAGGATTTTCAAAGACAGCATCTAAAAATATTTTCTTCAACTTCAGCTGTGCGTACAGTTCTGGGAGCTCCACTATGTCGGCCCATATCCAAATGGTTTTTATTACTCAAAATCAGGCTATAATCATTTCTTACCAATTTCTTGTAACTGCTGATCGATTCGTTGGAAAGTCTTTGAATTAGGCAGGTGTCTATTAGGGAATCTGTCAGCGTACAATCTTCGTGCTTTTAGAGCATTACATCTTGCCAATCCGTACATTAAATGCATATCAGAATATTCATCAAACGTATACTCCATGATGTTTAAGAACTTATTGTCAACTTAAACTATTATGACAAACATTGGAAACCATAGCAACACTAATCAGATATTATCCAAACCAACTTGATTATTATGTTATAAAAATGTTTTATCATCATGGTACAAATAAAGCATTGAAACTTTTAAAAACAAATATCTTTAAAACTATTAGCTTTAGACACTTCTAACAAGTAAACCTTTTTTGTTATGAAAATACCGGAAAATGAGATTATTTAGTCAGTTGTTGTATACAGGGTAGCACAAATAGGTTATGATAAGTTATTTACAGAAATAGTGCTGCCTTCTAGAAGTTTGGCCGTAAAAAATAACGGATTCTTGTTTCTCGTACTAGAAACCTCCCTATACCGAGTTTTATTCCAAAATCTGAAATACTTTCAAGCAATAAGGAAAAATCGAAAATAAAATTGTAAGTTTGACACCCTGTATCTCGCAAAATATCATCTTTTGGACTAAGGTATGCTTAGGTCAATTCACATATTTAGGTCTGTAGTATCTCCAGTTTCGAGATTTCCCAACCTTTCGCAGACACCCTCTATAAGCGTTTGCCTTTTTCCCAAAGTGGGGAATAAAACCAAAGTAATTTAGAAGTCAATGTTAGGTCGATGAGGTATTTATTACTAATAGGTCGAGGGATCTTCTAAATGAGATTAAATATGATTGAAGAAAGTATCGCGCATAGGCAAGAAGGATGCAAATTAAAAGAACCGATAACCAAACTGTCATCAAAGAACAGTAAATTACCATGAAAGGCTATTTTTGGGCACTATAACCATGCAAACATTTGCAAGTAATTTAAATTTCAGTTAAGACTCTTCTACTTACAACTTCGTAGAAATAGAAATTAATGTTTTCTAGAAGTCCCTTATAGCGTTGCTTCATATTTATTTCTGAATAAACGCCCTAAAGTGATCTTTTCAGCTTTGAAATTGAGAAGCTTTATTAGTTACTCTCAGAAATTCCGTTCTATAGTGAAATAAATAAAAAATAACAAATATCCGATACAATTTAAAGATATGTGTACGTATTAGAGAAATAATGTAACCGTTTGGATTGATCACGCATAGAGGCAGTTGGGATCAATATTTGATGTAACGAGGACTGTATCAATATTTGAGCGCCACAGATCACTTGGGAACTGAAACTGGACGGCCCTGGAATATGATACATTATTCAAGATTTCACAGCGTTACAGAAATAGATCCATATGCATTTTATAAGTGACATAACATAGAACATTATTAATATCATTATACTCTAAAAATCTAATCGAACGTTCTTCTATATTTTCCAGTACTTTTTAAGAGGGTAGGTAAAAAGTAAAGGGTGTCCACGCTCCAATAGGATGAAAAATATGTTTCTAAGTGGCATTGCTGGAAATGTGTGTTCAGTATAGTTATGGGAAGTTATAGTTTGAGTTTCTCATAGCAAAATATACAGTACCGAGCAAAAGTACAGAAACAAACCACATTACAAATAAAAATCCAGAAATATTTTCTCTAACCCAAAACTGTACACTGAAGTTTTTTATGTATGACTACCTCAAAAGTAGTCGTTGATTAGAATAGGTGTTTCTGAGTGTATTTGGCAAAGTGTAGTTAAAAAATACGGCCAGAGGTATTACATAAAATTTGCAAATTAAAGAATTGATTATTTTAAAATATCGATCAGGCATTAAACAAGCAACCAAAGCCAAACAGCTGAATCTAAACCGATCGGTAATTTGGAAAACTATTAAGCTGTTCCGCCTCAGAAAATCGTTGGTAACCCCTCCTAAGACTGGTAGACCGCGAAAAACCACACCTAGGATTAATAGGAAAATTAAAACACTTGCTCTTAAAAATCCATTTACTACTGCTGTCGACACAAAAGCTCAACTTGTAGAAGTAAATATTGGTGTCCACACTGTTCGAAGACGTTTAAGGGAGACTGATGCAATAAGACCATCTAAAAAACTCTTTATTTCCAAGAAAAATCGGACCGCCAGTCTTCAATTTGCTTACGATCGTTTGAACTGGTCAGAAACAAGGTGGCAAGGTGGAATTCTGTATTATTTTCTGATGAAAGTAAATTTAATTTATTTTCATCGGATGGCATTTTATGGGTACGTCCTAAAAACAAGCGGTTTGATCCTAAGTTCACTTTGGGCACAATCAAACACGGAGGCGGGAAGGTTCAAATATGGGGTTGTTTCTGTGGTCTTCAACTGGGACCCATCGTCAAAATTGAAGGAATTATGGACCGGTACATATACCTGGAAATATTAACTGATACCATGCTACCTTACGCAGAAGAAAACATGCCTCTACGCTGGCGGTTCCAGCACGACAACGACCCCAAGCACACAGCGAAAATAATAAAAACATTTTTTGCAGATCACAATATTAATGTCATTAAGTGGCCAGCTCAGAGTCTAGACCTTAACCCCATAGAGAATCTATGGGATTTAGTTGATAAAAACATTCGGATTGAACATCCAGAAAAGTTCAAAAATAGTGCCGAACTATTTGAGTCAATCCAAGTCGCGTGGAATTCTATTCCAAAAGAAACTAAGATAGCCTAATTGGTTCTATGAGAAAAATATGTCTAGCAGTTATCAAAAATAAAGGTTATGCAACCAAGTATTGGCTTCTTTGTATACGACGATTGCTTTGTACATCATGTTTCTCTGTTCTTGCTCGCTGTATTTTCTAATAATAATTGTTCGCATAGTTTTATTAAAGCAGACATTTTATTTTCATGTTGGCTCTGAATTACATGTTACATTAAGTTATAATAAAACATAAGTATTTAGTTTACTTTAATAGTTTAATAAAATCTTTAAAAAAATAAAATGTTTCTCCACTTTTGCTCGGTACTGTACGTATGAAGAAAGAACACCTACCTATGATACAATCGTTTCAAGAAATGACATTAGCTTTTTCTAAAAGTCTCTCGCAACATGATTATTTTGATGTGCAAAATATTATTATTGTACAGGGTGTTCAAAAGGAGTTGGTATACCAAAAATCACCTATATAAAATTTGCATAATTGAAGAAACCGTAGAACATCAAAATTTAAAAAAAAAATAGAATGTTATTACACAGATTTTTTGATATTCTCGACCACTGCCGTGAAAAATCTCAGCGTTTTTATGTTTACTACTCTTATCGTTCATCTAAATTTTGCAAACTTTTTATTATTGTATGGTTTTCAGTACGAGTCTTTGGTTCAATCAATTGTATCAGTCGTTTATTAGTGCGTATACTTCCATTTGTCTGATTATTTTGTGAGTGCCAAATAAATGCAGTCGCAGCGTGCAGGTTTCGTTTCAGAAATCATTCGGTCGCACGGATGTTAGTTATTAGCTTTCGTGACACAAACGTTACAAATTGAGAAAGACATTTTAGAAATGATCGCAGCTCAAGTTGAAGTTTCTCATAGTAAAGTGGGAGCACGAGCACGATTTTGCGTTAATCGAACAAATGGGGACAATTTTGAACAGTTCTTGTAAAAAGATTTTTAACTTGATAATTCATTTTTTTTAATAAATTTTAATAATGTAAACTCTCTTATTATGCAACTTTCATTCATGTAGGTGATTTTTGGTATATCAACTTGTTTTAACGCTGTTAAAATAAATGACTCAATTTTGAAAACACCCTGTATAATTGTGCTTGCAAAGACCATCACAGGATTAAAGCTATGAAAAATGCGAGGAATCTAGCCATGCTTAAATGAATAATGAAAAAAAAAGCCAATTTTTTTTCTTATGAAATGGTAGTTATTGCTAATTGATTATTATTCAAGCTTAATATGACGATACCAGAGAAATTATAGCACAGAAACCAACTGAATCGTCGTTCTGAAGTGAAAAAAATTGCAACTTAAATTGGTGAGGACATTTAGTTACGCGTTATCAGAAACAGAAATGTCATAGAATGAAAAAATGCCTTTGTCAAATTTTCTCAGTATCTTATTTACTTTTGGAAACGTATCATTTTCTTATTGGGGTTCCTATCATTCTGTGAAGTCGAAATTTTGTTGCAATACAAATTATATGCATCACGTTTACCATCCTGTCATCAAAAATTACAAATTATCTCTTTTGTTACAGCGTAAAGCAAGAATCCAATTCCAACCCGGCAAGTCCTCTAGAAGCATCAAGTCCAGGATCTCTGAATGGGAGAGGTAAGTGAAGATGGTTAGCGTTATAACAACTTGAATTATTGCGTATAGAGTTACTGGCCAAACTCAGCGAATTGATATTGTGACAATAATTAATAGTACTGTTGGCGCCATCTGTTGGGAGACTCTGAAACTTGCTAGAGCTTCATGGTCGATATCTGTTTCTACGCGGATCACCACTGCACACGCCACTTGGCGACATCTGTGAGGATCGTGACAGTGGATCGCCTTCTAGATCAACGCGAAGTGACCTCGAACCTCGACGATTCTGGAATGCGGCTATGTGGCTCACCGGAATATTCTCGAGCCACGATGCGGACTATATAACTCGACAGTCGGGAGAGGGAAGCAGAGAACAGTATAGTAGAGCTGAGTGGAGTATAGTTCAGTCAATGGTGCGACATAAGAATTAGTCAGCCATAAATAGTGGTGTATATAAATGTTCTTTCAAGTTAAATAAATTAGTGCGTTTCTTTTTATGGAATCCAGTGTTTTAATCCACACCCAAAAGAACGCAGAAAAACGCTACAATATTTGTGTTGCCTGTTACAGCCTCGTGTCTCAACGTAACATCGTAAAATTTTCCGGGATTACATTTTAAATAGAATTATTTACCACAGTTGTAAAAATCGACAACGATCTTATCTGACTGACCTGTAATCTGGAGTCATGCGTTTTCAGATAGTATGTACCTATATTTTGAATGTTTCACTAGGAGATACCACCTTAAAGATCTCATGATTTGCCCCCGGCCTCCTGGGAAAATTTGCTACTCCCCGCTGTTCAATATGTTTTTTGGGACGGGTACACTTTCACAAAATGTTATCTCTCGCTCGATTATACCATCTATCCTGTAGGATAGATATTTGAAAAACTTACGTTGATTCTTTTTAATGAGTTACAAGTTGTCAAATAGCAGGGATTCTAATTAATTCTAGTGTATTGAAGTATTGACATCACAAAATAATGCATTACATAACATGAGTAGAGCCTTTATGCTATCAAAATCACGAGAGTTGCACGACACAAAACCCACACCCTTATTTAGAGAATTATTAGACGATTATTTATATGCGGACTGAAGATGAAAGATGTGTCAATGATGCCTCCAAGATCTTCAAATTTCTATACGGGGTGGACCAGACAGATCTACGAATTTCAAAACCGACACGGGCAGTGGGAATAAGTAGCTTGGTGCTCAGTAATTTAGTAAAGCTGCGGGGTCCGTACTGCGCGACCTTCCCGAAAGAGCTCAGCTGAGCTCGCCACAGCAAGAACATCTGAAAGGCGTATTTTGGGAGAAGACCTCATATTGCACCCATGTATGGTAAACTTCAGCTAGTGCAGGAATTGAAACCGCAAGATTACCTTTTACGCCGAGCGTTTGCCGAAACAGTGTTAGAGCGCTTTCCAACTTTGAACAATATAAAATATATATTATTCGGTATGATTCAATATTCGAAGAAGCGATCGTCATGAAGAAGAAAATAACACGTTTTAGATGATCCGCTAGCACGCACTTACTTTTGAAATATGTTCGTACCTACAATAACCCGCCTAACAGCGTTATAGCTCAGGCATTTTAGACATTTCTAAAGTTCTCAATGTACTCAAAAAAGTTAATTTTTGTGTCCAAAAAAGGAGGATAGGGTTATCCGATATGATTCAATATTCGAAGAAGCGATCGTCATGAAGAAGAAAATAACACGTTTTAGTCGATCCGCTAGCACGCACTTACTTTTGAAATATGTTCGTACCTACAATATCCCGCCTAACAGCGTTATAGCTCAGGCATTTTAGACATTTCTAAAGTTCTCAATGTACTCAAAAAAGTTAATTTTTGTGTCCAAAAAAGGAGGATAGGGTTATCCGATATGATTCAATATTCGAAGAAGCGATCGTCATGAAGAAGAAAATAACACGTTTTAGTCGATCCGCTAGCACGCACTTACTTTTGAAATATGTTCGTACCTACAATATCCCGCCCAACAGCGTTATATCTCAGGCATTTTAGACATTTCTAAAGTTCTCAATGTACTCAAAAAAGTTAATATTTGTCTCCAAAAAAGGAGAATAGGGTTATCCGGTATGATTCAATATTCGAAGAACCGATCGTCATGAAGAAGAAAATAACACGTTTTAGACGATCCGCTAGCATGCACCTACTTTTGTAATTTGTTCGTACCTACAATACCCCGCCTAACAGCGTTATAGCTCAGTAATTTTAGACATTCTTAAAGTTCTCAATATACTCAAAAAAGATCTTCTTGTGTCCAAAAAAGGAGGTCAGCGTCATTCGGTATGATTCAATATTCGAAGAAGCGATCGTCTTGAAAAAGAAAATAACACGTCTTAAACGATCCGCTAGCACGCACCTACTTTTGTAATATGTTCGTACCTACAATACCCCGGCTAACAGCGTTATAGCTTAGTAATTTTAGACATTCCTCAAGTTCTCAATATATTCTAAAAAGTTTATTTTTGTGTCCAAAAAAGGAGGACAGCATTATTGGGTATGATTCAATATTTGAAGAAGCGATCGTCATGAAGAAGAAAGTAACACGTTTTAGAAGATCCGCTAGCACGCACTTACTTTTGTAATATGTTCGTACTTACAATACCCCGCCTAACAGCGTTATAGATCAGTAATTTTAGACATTACTAAAGTTCTCAATCTCTCAAAAAGTTTTTTTTTGTGTACAAAAAAGGAGTACAGCGTTATTTTCGGAATGATTCAATATTCGAAGAAGCGATCGTCATGAAGAAGAAAATAACACGTTTTAGACGATCCGCTAGCATGCACTGACTTGTAATTTGTTCGTACCTACAATACCCCGCCTAACAGCGTTATAGCTCAGTAATTTTAGACATTCCTACAGTTCTCATTGTACTCAAAAAAGTTGATTTTTGTGTCCAAAAATGGAGGACAGCGTTATTTTCGGTATGATTCAATATCCGAAGAAGCGATCGTCCTGGAGAAGAAAATAACACGTTTTTGACGATCCGCTAGCACGCACTTACTTTTGTAATATGTTCGTACCTACAATACCCCGCCCAACAGCGTTATAGCTCAGGAATTTTAGACATTACTAAAGTTCTCAATATATTCAAAAAAGTTTATTTTTGTGTCCAAAAATGGAGGACAGCGTTATTTTCGGTATGATTCAATATTCGAAGAAGCGATCGTCATTAAGAAGAAAATGACACGTTCTAGACGATCCGCTAGCACGCACTTACTTTTGTAATATGTTCGTACCTACAATACCCCGCCTAACAGCGTTATAACTTAGTAATTTTAGACATTCCTCAAGTTCTCAGTATATTCAAAAAAGTTTATTTTTGTGTCCAAAAAAGGAGGACAGCATTATTGGGTATGATTCAATATTTGAAGAAGCGATCGTCATGAAGAAGAAAATAACACGTTTTAGACGATCCGCTAGCACGCACTTATTTTTGTAATATGTTCGTACCTACAATACCCCGCCTAACAGCGTTATAGATCAGTAACTTTAAACATTCCTAAAGTTCTCAATATATTCAAAAAAGTTTATTTTTGTGTCCAACAAAGGAGGACAGCGTTATTTTCGGTATGATTCAATATTCGAAGAAGCGATCGTCATGATGAAGAAAATTTTAGTCGATACGCTAGCACGCACTTACTTTTGTAATATGTTCGTACCTACGATACCCCGCCTAACAGCGTTATAGCTCAGTAATTTTAGACATCCCTAAAGTTCTCGACATATTCAAAAAAGTTTATCATTGTGTAGAAAAAAGGAGGACAGCGTTATTCGGTATGATTCAATATTCGAAGAAGCGATCGTCATGAAGAAGAAAGTAACACGTTTTAGAAGATCCGCTAGCACGCACTTACTTTTGTAATATGTTTGTACCTACAATACCCCGCCTAACGGCGTTATAGCTCAGTAACTTTAGACATTCCTAAAGTTCTCAATATATTCAAAAAAGTTTATTTTTGTGTCCAACAAAGGAGGACAGCGTTATTTTCAGTATGATTCAATATTCGAAGAAGCGATCGTCATGAAGAAGAAAATAACACATTTTAGTCGATACGCTAGCACGCACTTACTTTTGTAATATGCTCGTACCTACGATACCCCGCCTAACAGCGTTATAGCTCAGTAATTATGGACATTCCTAAAGTTCTCAACATATTCAAACAAGTTTATTTTTGTGTCCAAAAAAGGAGGACAGCGTTATCCGGTATGATTCAATATTCGAAGAAGCGATCGTCATGAAGAAGAAAATAACACGTTTTTGACGATCCGCTAGCACGCACTTACTTTTGTAATATGTTCGTACCTACAATACGCCCGCCTAACAGCGTTATAGCTCACTAATTTTAGACAATCCTAAAGTTCTCGACATATTCAAAAAAGATGATTTTTGTGCTCAACAAAGGAGGACAGCGTTATTTTCGGTATGATTCAATATTCGAAGAAGCGATCGTCATGAAGAAGAAAATAACACATTTTAGACAATCCGCTAGCACGCACTTACTTTTGTAATGTGTTCGTACCTACGATACCCCGCCTAACAGCGTTATAGATCAGTAATTTTAGACATTCCTAGAGTTCTCGACATATTAAAAAAAGATGATTTCTGTGCCCCAAAAAGGAGTACAGCGTTATTTTCGGTATGATTCAATATTCGAAGAACCGATCGTCATGAAGAAGAAAATAACACGTTTTAGACGATCCGCTAGCATGCACTTACTTTTGTAATTTGTTCGTACCTACAATACCCCGCCTAACAGCGTTATAGCCCAGTAATTTTAGACATTCCTAAAGTTCTCAATATATTCAAAAAAGATCTTCATGTGTCCAAAAAAGGAGATCAGCGTCATTCGGTATGATTCAATATTCGAAGAACCGATCGTCTTGAAAAAGAAAATAACACTTCTTAAACGATCCGCTAGCACGCACTTACTTTTGTAATATGTTCGTACCTACAATACCCCGCCTAAGAGCGTTATAGCTTAGTAATTTTAGACATTCCTCAAGTTCTCAATATATTCAAAAAAGTTTATTTTTGTGTCCAAAAAAGGAGGACAGCATTATTGGGTATGTTTCAATATTTGAAGAAGCGATCGTCATGAAGAAGAAAATAACACGTTTTAGACGATCCGCTAGTACGCACTTACTTTTGTAATATGTTCG